GCAGATCTCTGAGTTCGAGGCCAGCCTGGTCTACAGAGCGAGTTCCAGGACAGTCAGGGCTGTTACACAGAGAAATCTTGTCTTGAAAAATAGCAAAACAAAATTGCCAAGTCCCTTTTAAAAATCAAAGGTGTCTGTAAAATGCCAAAATCCTTTTTCAAAGTCCCTCAACTATGGGCTCCTGTAAAATCAAAATAAGTTAAATACGGTCTCACTCTGAGAGAGAAGAACCAGGGCACAGGCACAATCTGAAGAAAGCCAAGCCCAACTCCAACTGTGTAAATAACTCAGTGTCCAGTGTCTGGGATTCAGTCTTCTGAGCTCCACTGAAAGGCCTGGGTCACTTCTCCAGCTCCACTGTCTTCAGCCCACACAGACAGCATCCACGGCTGAGGCTGTCCTGGGTGGTCATCCCATGGTACTGGCATCTCCAAAATGCTGGGGGCCTCCTGCCTCACCAATAACCTCTCCCAGGCGCTCTTCATGGTGCCAAGCCTCAACTTCTCTCCGTGACCCCTTCGATCCTGGGCCTTCAACTAATGAGGCTACCAATGGCCAATGGTCTCTCCTGGTCTCTCACAGTGCCAAGCCTCAGTTGCTCTCCATGACCCCGTCATGCCTTCAAAACCAGTAACACCTGGGTGACTCTTACACATCACCAAGTCCACTGCCAGTGCGAGGTACAACCTTGGCCACGTCTGGAACACATGCTCTGAGGAAACACTTCCCAGAAGATTTCACCTCAGCAATGCTGGTCTCTCCTGAATCACCGCTAATTCTCCAGCCCCAGCTGACCAGAATCACAGAATCCTAATTCTAAACAGCAAATGTCCACAATCGAGTCTTTAAACGTCCCCCTGAACATCACGAGCCAGGCCTCCTTCGTCCACACTGCTCTCAGCATTATCTTTTGAGTTCTGACAGAACTGCCCACTGAGTTCTCAACACTCAATGGCTTTTCCAGCCCAAAGTTCCAAAGTCCTCCCACACTTCCACATGCTCAGGTCTGCCACAGCAATACCCACTATCCTGGTCTTAGTCAGGGTTACTACTGCTGTGATGAAACACCATGAGCCAACACAACCTGAGGAGGAAAGGGCTCGGCTTACATAGCCTGAATCACAGTCCACCGAGGGAAGCCAAGGCAGGAACTCAGACCATATGGAAACCTGGAGGCAGGAGCCGATTGATGCAGAGGTCATAGAGGAATGCTGCTTACTGGCTTGTTCCTCATGGCTTCCTCAGCCTGCTTTCTTATAGGACCCAGGACCACCAGCTTAGGGGTGGCCCCACCCACAATGGGAAGGGCCCTTCACCATCAATCACTAATTAAGAAAACACCCTACATTAGAGCCAGGCATGGTGGCCCACACCTTTGATCCCAGCACTAGGGAAGCAAAGGCAGGCGGATCTCTGAGTTCAAGGCCAGCCTGGCTACAAAGTGAGTTCCAGGACAGCCAGGGATAGGCAGAGAAACCCTGACAAGAGAGAGAGAGAGAGAGAGAGAGAGAGAGAGAGAGAGAGAGAGAGAGACAGACAGACAGACAGACAGAGAGAGAAAATGTCCCACAGGCTTGCCTACAGCCCAGGGCATCAATCATGTTTTGCAAGCACTCTACCAAGTCAGCTACATCCCCAGCCCTTGGCTTGGTTTTGGATTTTATTTTATTTTTGTTTTTCGAGACAGGGTTTCTCTGTGTAGCTTTGTGCTGTTCCTGGATCTCGCTCTGTAGACCAGGCTGGCCTCGAACTCACAAAGATCCGCCTGCCTCTGCCTCCCAAGTGCTGGGATTAAAGGCGTGCACCACCACCGCCCGGCTTTATTTTATTTTTATACTATGGGTGTTTTGCCTGCACGTGTGTGCCCGGTGCCCACAGAGGGCAGAAGGTGGTGTCGGAGCCCCTGGAACTGAGGACACAGACAGTTGTAAGTTACCATGTAAGTGTTGGAAATCAAACCCTGGTCTCCTGGAGGAGCAGCCAGTGCTCTTAACCATTAAGCCATCTCTCCAGCCCCTTTGGTTTATTTTTTGAGGGAGTGTCTCACTATGTAGCCCTGGCTGGACCGAAACACACTATGTTGACCAGGCTAACTTGGAATGCACTATGTAGTCAAAGAGGACCTTGGACTCTCTAGCTTCCTGCCTCAGCTTCTAGGTTGTTAGGACCACAGGAATGTGCTCATTCATTACCTCTGAAGATGACTCAGGCATCCCTTCACCAAGAAGCTGTGTCTGGCCATGTGTGGGGTTAGACATGCACTACTGAGGCCCCAACTCCCTGAACTCTTCCCTGGAAGCTCCCATGACTTCGTGAACTGTCAGATACCCGGGGTTGGCAACATGGCCTCCCTTGCTGACTGAATGACTGAGAGACCGGCTCGGGTTACGCATCCATGGGGCTGGAAGGAGGAAGGACTCACCCGTTCTTCTTAGGCAAGTAGGCTTCCATGTCGAAGAAGAGGCCTTGGCGCTCCTTCATCTGGTTTTCCAGCTCCTGCGCGGCCTCCGTGGACTCGGATGGGAGAGAGGGTCTGCATCTGGGAGTATGGCGGGAGTCAGTCAGTGCAGGTGGGGAAGCCCAGTGGGAACCCTTTGGGACAGAGAAAGGAACAGAGCCCAGGGAGTGCAAGAGCAGCAGAGCCATGCCAGGGTAAGCCAGTGGCACTCCCCCCCCACCCCCACCACCCAACAGCAGCCACCCCTGGCGGGAAGTCACCCCCAGCCTCACTTTTTCAGCACCAAGGCCAGCTCCTGGAGCCGCTTCTTCTGGCGTGTGATGGAGTTGGTACAGTTGTCCTGGAGTCTGGTCAGCTCTTCTAGTTTCAGGCGGTACAGGCGGTGTGTTTCCTACGGTGAGGAGAAGGCATGAGCTTGACTGGGCAGCTTCCTGGGCAGGGCACCAGCCCTGGAGGTAGAACTTCCCGTGCTTGCCAGGGGACCTCCAGAGACTGCTCTGCCCCTGAGGCAAGCCAGGAGCTGGACTCTCCCTGTAAACTCAGAACTCTGTGACACCTGTCCATAGCTCTGCCTGGTTTTTTTGTTTTTGTTCTTTGTTTGTTTGTTTGTTTCAAGACAGGGTTTCTCTGTGTAGCTTTGGAGCCTGTCCTGGAACTTACTCTGTAGACCAAGCTGGCCTCGAATTCACAGAGACCCTCCTGCCTCTGCCTCCAGAGTGCTGGGATTAATGGCGTGCACTCCTGGCCTATCTGCCTAGGTTTTTGTGCTACCTGAGTCTGGCATTATCTTCAACAGTCTAGAGCAGTGGTTCTCAACCTCCCTACCACTTGCGACCCTTTGATACAGTTTCTTGTGTTGTGGTGACCCCCAACCATAAAATTATTTTCGTGGTTGCAATGTTGCTACCGTTATGGATCCTAATGTAAATATCTGTCTTAGGCGACTCCTGAGAAAGGGTCGTTTGCCTCCTACAATGGGTCTTGATCCACGGGTTGAGAACCACTGCTCTGGACCAGAGGGGCTGCCTGAACTCACCCCTTACCGTCTCAGTTCCTTCTACCTAGCTAGCCTGAAGGGATGGCATACAGGGTTGTCCATGATGCCTTCCGCTCAGGCATTCCCGATGTTTCCTCTCAGGTCAAAGGTCACCAGGCTCCCGCTCTAAGACCAGTTCCTCCCATCCACTCCCCTCCTGCAAGCACCTTTGGCCCAAGCCCTTTGCCCTGGTGGGTGAACCTTGCAAGCTGCTCCCTAAAGACAGGGCAAGGGGCAGTGTGGGGAAATCAAGGCAGAGGCCATCGCAGTGATGGCAAAACTGGGAGATGAGGGGCTGTGTAACCCCTAGAGAGAGTTCTAGTACCAGCAAGCTGGGCAGGGTCGGCAGCTGCAGTGGAGATATGAGGCTGGGCACAGTCCAGCAGAGGCAAAGGTCTAACCTAGTCTCCAGCTGGCCAGGCTCCACTACTTGGGTCTGTTTCTCATGCCAAGCGGGGCAGCCACGTCCTCCCCAGGCTCTAGCATATGCCACCCCTGCCCAGTGATAGCCTTCCTGGAAGCAGCAGCTTCCTTCTCTCGAGTACGGGGACAGAGAGGACACAAACAACCTGGAACTGGGAGGTTTTCCAATGGTCTCACACAGCCTCTGCCAGGCAGGAGGTCCAGGTACAGTCTGCCCCGCCCACCTCTTCCCTACAAGAAAGAACCACACGCGCCCAGGCGAGGCTCCTCCTGTCCCTAGGTGGGCGCTGTCCCTCTGTCTCAGACGGCTGGGATCTCCATCCAGGCCTGCGTTTTATCTAAACTTGCTTCCCTGCAGCGTTCAGCAAGGAGTTGGCCAAGGGCGGGGAAGGCGTTGTCCGGCTGCACGCTTGCAGGGTGACTGAACCAAAAGGCTGGGCCCGGCTGGGCTCTGCCTCGGGTGACTGCTCTCCAGGAAGGGGACGAGGTCCCAGATCGGTTAGCGGTGCAGAAGGAGGGTCGGCAAGGGAGTCCTGACCTGTTTTCAAGGCCTTTGCACAAAGTCGAGATGGCCCGGTACAGAGGGATCCCTTGCCCAAGCACGCCGGGGACGCGCGGGCAATCGGGGCTGCCATCGGACACTTAAGAGGAGAAGTGGGGGAGGGCCTCGACCCCTGACCCCTCCGAGCTACCCTATGTCTGACCTAGGGCTGCCCGACCCTTGTCCCCGAGACAGAGAGACGTGGCTCGGGGCACGGATGGCCGCAGGGACGCTCACCTGGATACCTTGGAAGTCCTGCTGCAGATCCTCCCAGTTGCGCAGGCAGTCGCCCAGCGGGTCTGGGGGCGGGGACTGCATGTCTTTGTCCACGCCACGGGCCGCGGGGAACCGCGAGTGGGGAGGACGGAGCTGCAACCCCGGCCGGCCGGAGGCGCCTCCGCCACCGCCCCCGTCCGCTTCCGGGCTCGCGCTGCCGCGGCTGCCAACGGGAAAAGGCCCGGCGTAATCCGCGCGCGAGCCCCGCCCCTTGGGGCAGCCAATCGGATCCCGGGACGGGGAGCTGGGCGTGGCCACGTGCCCGCCAGGCGTCTCCTGGCTCCGTGACCCGACCTGTGCTCCCGGCCGTCCGACCCGCTTGATCCGCTTCCTCGGACCACTCACGAACCACGGCGACACGTGCTTCCAACACTTTCCATTTTTATTTTAGATGGAGTCTCACGACGTAGCCCCGGCTGGCCGGTCGGGAACGAGAGATGCCTCTGCCTCTGCCTCCCGCGTGCGCCATCCACCACGCCCTGCGCCTCATCCACTTTTGTCCTTGAGCAGCGGCCCCTCTCTAGGGACAGCCTTTGTCTCACGGCTTTTTAGAGACACCCCTTTCCTGGCCCGGAGTCCTCGGTGCTCACCTCCCCTGTCCCTTCAAACAGCCTGTAGGCTGCCTCTCCTCAAATACAAAACTTAACTCCCCACCGTGTCCCTGCTGAAGACTACCAGTGGCGTCCGAGAGTCGGTAGCGCGCTTGCCTAGCATGCAGGAAACACTGAATTCAATCCCTAGCATCACGTAATAAACCGGATGCGGAGACGCACGCCTGTGATTCCCACACTTGGGAGGCGCTGACAGAAAGATCAGAAGTTCCAGGTCATCCTCGTCAGGGGTTACCCTACCACCCATATCCTTCTGTGGAAAGTTCTAGGAGGCAGATAGTAGTTGGGGATGGATGTTTCTTTCTTTTTGTTTGTTTGTTTGGAGACAGGGTTTCTCTGTGTAGCCCTGGCTAGCCCTGGCTTGTCTCGAACTCTGCCTCTGCCTCTGCCTCCCTAGTGCTGGGTAAGGCATGCCTGGCTGGTCGGGATGTTTTCTTAAAGGGCTGACGCCCTCCATTGCCCATCAGTCCCCTTGTAGTCTGTGAGTCTGGGGAAGTGCATTTGGGCAACTCCCTTTAGGACTTGTGGAATTTGAGCCTGTGACAAGGCTCGGCAAGTAAGGGTGCCTGCTGCCAAGCCTTATGACCTGAGTTCAATCCCAGGACCCACTCTGGAAAGAACCGGTTTCAGCAACTTCTGCTCTGACCTCCACACAAGTGCCAAGGAATGCCTACATATACAGACATAGAGTGTAGGATGGCTCAGTGGTTAAGAACAGCTCTTCCAGAGGACCTGGGTTCAATTCCCAGCACCCACATGGTGGCTCACAACCATCTGTAACTCCAGTCCCTGGGAATCTGACCCTCACTTCTGACCTCCACAGTCACCAGGCATATATGTGGTGCACAGACATACATGCAGGCAAAAGATGCACATAAAATACAATAAAAAAATTAAAATAATATATAACAAAAATTTGTAGAGATTTGTGGAATCATGAGGAAGCCCTGGGTTTGATTCCCAGTACCACAAACTTGGTGTGGTGGCACATGCCTGTATTCCCAGCACTTGGGAGGAGAGAGGCAAGAGGATCAGAAGTTCAGTGTCATCCTCAGCTACATAGTGAGTTGTCCAGACTAGCGTGGGCTACATGAGACCCTGTCTGAAACAAAAAGAAGAAAATGGGATATAGAATTTCTAGAAACCTGGGATTGGGTGATAAGAAGTCCAGCATGTCTCCTTCCTAATGAGTTGGGGACAGAGAGAGAATCTATACCCATGATCCAGGGGCAGTGGTCTGAACGCTGGCTCTGGGCATTGGGCAATGACCTCTATTCTGGTGGCTGTGAAGTCAGGAGTGTCCCTAAGACTGAGCTGGAAGATCTCTACCCTGGAGTGGACACTGATACTCTCTGGATGGGCTGACACAAAGCATGGGCTGAGTACCCCCAACCCAGGTGACCTCCAAAGAGTCCACATCATCAGTGTGTCGGACCACTGCTCCAGCCAGAGGCAGCCCCGGGAGTGTAGCTGGGTGGCAGAGCTTGCCTCCAGAAGTGGGGGGTGACGGAGGAGCCAGAAGGAAGAGTGTCTGCTCTGCTGAATGGACCAGAGCCCAAGAAGGCCTGTCATGGTGGACACCTCTAATCCCAGCACTCAGGAGACGGAGGCGGGAAAACGGCAAGGCTAAGGGCAACCAGGGTATGTAATGAGACCTCAGTTATTTATTTATTTATTTTTGGATATTTATTTATTGGGTTTTTTTTCTTTTTTGTTTTTTTTCCGAGACAAGGTTTCTCTGTAGCTTTGGAGCCTTTCCTGGAACTCACTCTGTAGACCAGGATGGCCTTGAACTCACAGAGATTCACCTGCCTCTGCCTCCCGGGTGCTGGGATTAAAAGTGTGCTCTACCACCGTCCGGCTTGTTGTTGTTGTTTGGAGACAGGGCTTCTCTGTGTAGTCCTGGCTGTCCTAGAACTTGATCTGTAGCCCTGCCTTTGCATCCTGAGTGCTGGACTAAAGGTGTGTGCCACCACCGCTGGCTGAGACCTCAGTACTTAAGGTGAAGAGATGGCTTGGTGGTTAAGAACGTTGGCTGCTTTTCCAGAGGACCCAGGTTTGGTTCCCAGCACCCATATGGTGGCTCACAACCATCTATAACTCCGGTTCCAAGGGATGCAATGCCCATTTCTGACTTCTGTAGGAGCCAGGCATATACATGGTACATAGACATACATGCAGGCAAAAGATCTATATACATAAAATAAAACAAATCTAAAATAAAAATTTAAAGGGGTGTGTGTGTGTGTTTGTGTTGGGGGAACGGATGCAGGAAGCCCTGGGTCCACCCTCAGCAACACATAAACAAACAGAGGTACACACTGCACTCTTAGCACTGGATGGGGGGAGGCAGAAGGAGCATGAGTTAAAGTCCTCTTCAGCTGCACACAGTTTGAGGCCATCCTCGCCTCCAGGAGACCTTGTCTCAAAAAATCAAAGGCTTACCTAACATGTGTGAGACTCTAGCACAGTGGTTCTCGGCCTGGGGGTCGAACAACCCTTTCTCAGGGGTCACCTAAGACCATCGGAAAACACAGATATTTACATTATGATTCATAATGGTAGCAAAATGACAGTTATGAAGTAGCAGTGCAAATAATTTTATGGTTGGGGGGTCACCACACATGAGGAACTGTACTAAAGGGTCGCAGTGTTAGGAAGGTTGAGAACCACTGCTCTAGGTTCAATCCCCAGTATTTGGGTGGGGGGGAAAGAAAAGAACCAGACCTAAGACACAGACATGAAACTTCAGATTGCAAAGGTCTTCTTCTGGACCATTCCAAGCGTGTACCTAACCCCCCACCCACCCCTCAAAAAGTCCCAAACAAGGTTCCTCCTCGCCCGGGTGGGCCGCAGGCGAAGGTCAGTAGATAGGCTCGGAGATGTCTGTGATGTAATCCCCGTGGACAGTTTTCTCCCATTCCAGCAGCTGAGCCACCAAGCCCCGATTCGGACGCATGTTGTTTTTGCATTTCTTCACGTGGGCCCAGGACCTCTGTGAATGTAGACAGAAGGATGATCTCAGGACAGGTGGTGATGAGATCCTTCCAGATGAGATCACCAACAGGTCAGGGGGGACAGGAGACACCTACCTGCCCATATGATGGCTAGATGCAGGGACAGGGGCTGGGTGGTAGTTCATTTGGTAGTGTACTTTCCGGGCAAGCATGAGGACCTGAGTCCAGTCCCCAGGATCCATGTAAAAACTCTGTTTGTAACCCTAGGTCTGGGGAAGTGGAGACGGGGATTCCTGGGGCTCACTGGCCAGCTAGTCTAGCCTAATTGTGGGGTACCTTGGGAGGGAAGAAAGAAAGAGAGAGAGAGAGAGAGAGAGAGAGAGAGAGAGAGAGAGAGAGAGAGAGAGAGAGAGAGAGAAGGGGGAAAGGGAGAGGAGAGAGGGAAGGAGGGAAGAAGGGAGGGGGGAAAAGAAAAGGTTGGGCCTCAAGCCTGATGATCTGAACTCAACCCAAGTGACCCATACGGTACAAGAAGAGAACTGACTTCTGCACATGTGCCATATGAATACATACACACATGCACACACACACAGGCACACATGCACATGAACACACACTCAAAGGAACAGAGGGAAAAAAATAATTTAAGCGCCGACAGAACAGCAGCCTGGGGTAAACTCATCGAGGCAAGGAGCCCTAGGCACAGTCCAGGCCATAGGCAAGCTCCTCTACTTCTGACTCAGGGCACAGAAGTCAGTTCCGTTTCCGTGGCTCCTATGAAGATTGAGACAATATGCATGCAACCTCCCGTGGGGCAGGCTAATGCCAGGCTAGCCTGGGGCACACAGCAGCCTCAACAAAGGTCTGCGTGGGGACCGGCTGAATCACTGGAGAGTTGACAGGAACCGTGAGCGGGTTCTCGGAAGGAGGAAAGGCAAGGCAAAGCTGCCTTCCTCCAGGCTGCACCCGCAATGAAGTCCAGAAGAAGGCATGCGTGGGCCCGGCCTTCATCTGGGTTACAGGTAGAGTGGAAAGGCAAAATGGTACCTTAGGGCTGGAGTGATGCCTCAGAGGTTAAGAGCACGTACTGCTCTTGCAGAGGACCTGAGTTTGGTTCCCAGCGTCCACATCAGGCAACTCACAAGCTCCTGGAAATCTAATGACCTCTTCTGGCTTCTGAGGGCAACTGCACTCATGTGCACCCCCCAACACACACACACACACACACACACACACACACACACACACACACACACACACACACACACACACGAGCTAATAAACACAGCAAAACTGCACGATAATAAATTCAACACATAACTCTCAGTTGTTTCTATGTACTAATTGATGATGAACAGTCCAAAAAGAGGAGGAGGAGGAGGAGGAAGAGGAGGAGGAGGAAGAAAAAAACATGAGAGATGGCTCCTCTGAGAGATGGCTCAGTGATTAACAGCACTTGCTGCTCCTGCAGAGGACCCGGGATCAGTTCCCAGCATCTGCACAGGTGGCTTCCAACCACTTGTAATGACAGTCCCTTTAGAGCAGACACTCCTGGCCTCCACAGGGACCTGCACACACGATGCACATAGATACCCACAGGTACAGACACGTGCACATTAAGAAAGGGAGGGAGGGAGGGAGGGAGGGAGGGAGGGAGGGAGGCAGGCTGGCACTGGGGAGATGGCTCAGCTGGTAAAGTGATTGCCTTATAAGCCCGAGGACCTGAGTTTGATCTCCAAAAGCCAAGTTTATTCCCAGCACTGGGGAGCTGGAGACAGGTGGATCCCTGGGGCTGGCAGGTCAGCCAGCCTACTCTACTTGGCAAGCACCAGGCCAATGAGAGAACTTGTCTCCCAAAAAATCAAAGGTGGATGATGCCTGAGGAGTGGATACCTGAAGCTGTCCTCCAACCTCCCCCCACACCCTCATATACACACCTACACACACCCTCCTACACACCTACACACACCTACACACACTCATACACACCTACACACACATACACACATTCATATGCACCTACACACATGGGTGCACACTCATACAGACCTACACACACCCTCATACACACCGACACACACATATACACACACTCATACACACCTACACACACATACACACATTCATATGCACCTACACACATGGGTGCACACTCATACAGACCTACACACACCCTCATACACACCGACACACACATATACACACACTCATACACACCTACACACACATACACACATTCAAATGCACCTACACACATGGGTGCACACACTCATACAGACCTACACACACCCTCATGCACACCTACACACCTACACACACATACACACATTCATATGCACCTACACACATGGGCACACACACCGATATGGACCTACACACACCCTCATGCACACAAAAGGAAATGATAACTTGTGTAAGGGATTGACTGCAGACAAACGGACGCCCACTAAGTACAGCGGAGGTTGCCAGAGGCTTGGATTAGGCGCGAACAGGAGGCTGTCAATCACCAGGCACAGGATTTCAGTTCTGTAAGATCTGAAAGTTCACAAGCTGCGTTCACAACCTGAATGTACTTACCACGAAAACACATGTTTAGGAGTTGTTAAGAGGGATGGGGGTGTGGCCTATTTGGTAAGGTGCTGGGCCCCTAAACCCACCGCACACCTCAGCTCCTAACACATCTTCTGGGACTCTCCCAGGCAGAAAGGTCCTGCCTACCCTGGGATGAACATGTGAAGCACTTGCCAGGGCACACTTGGTGAGGGTCAACAGGCCCTGGTCTTAAGGCTGCAAGGCCATCTGTGTTCTTCCTGTTACCTTGGGGCCCCATGGAAAGTGTGGGTGCTGCGCCTGAGCCAATGGGCTTTGATCCCTGCTGTACTGTCTGTAGCTGGGCAGCCTTGGAGAAAGCACCCAGACTTAGCACACCTGAAGAATGCTGGTGTGCATTCTTCATAATGGTATTTAAGCTACAAGGTCATAGTGAACATGCCTTTACATATAAAAAAGAAAAAGGTCCAGGGCCAGTGGGACACAGCTCTAACCTAGCACTTGGGAGACTGAGGTGGGAAGAATTGTGAGTTCCCTGTAAGCCTGAGTTCTACAGCCAGTTGTCGATGGGCCTGAGTTATCAGTGAGTTCCAAGCCACCATGAACTATGTAGCAAAATCTATGCAACATAGTGAACCCTATCTAAAACAAAACAAAACAAAATTAGCCAAAATCGGGGCTAGAGACATGGCTCCGTCTCTTCCAGAGGACCCAGGTTCAATTCCCAGGACTCACATGGTGGCTGGGGTGGGTGGAATTCTAGTTCCAGAGGATCAGACTCCCCCTTCTGGCGTTCTTGAGAACTGCATGCATGTTGTGCACAGACACCCAGGTAGAGAAACACCAGGGCACATAAAATAAAAAAAAAACAAATATTTTTAAAAAATATGTTTATTATTATCATGTGTGAGCATGCTATGTATGGGGGGTGCACATGCCACTGCACACTTGTGGAGGTCAGTTGAGGAGCAGTTCTCTCCTTCCAGCTTACCAGGTATTAAAACCCAGGTGGCCAGGCTTGCAAGGCAGGGGCTTTACCTGCTTAGTCACCTTACCAACCCCTATTCTAAGGGCCCTTAAGGGACACAGATACCAGCGGACTCAACATGCCCACTGCACTGACAGCCTGCCCCAGCACGCCAGCTCCATGTCAGCCTCCTGGGGTCAAGCCCAGGTCAAGCTATGCTAATCAGCCAACTACTGTGGCAAGCTAGAGACAGGCACTCCTGTCCAACGTGAGCTGAACAGCTCTTTTTGGCCAAGAGTTATCTAGCAGTCATCTCTGGGAAGAGTGCCCAGTCTTGGGACTTCCTACAGAGCGGACAAAGATGGCTGTTCTCGGAACAAGTGCCAGGGTTCCTCCTGAGTCCAGACTCACCTGGACGTGAGGAGATCCAGCATCAGCCACTGCCAGGGACAGGCAGACCAGGCAGCAAGGGCCGTGCACCCCCTTCAGGCCCTAGTTTGGCTAGGAAAGGAACCAAGCCAGAGGACGGCTTACTTCAGCCTCATCTCAACCCGCCCTGCCTGGAAGCCTGTCAGCTCTACTTGGCTGTGACGACGACATCAGGGTTGGAGGGCTCAAAAGCTTTTGGAGTTTTGTTTTGTTTTCCCCGAGCTAGGTGGGGATCAAACCCAGGTCCTGTGGTCCCAGGCAAGCCCACTATGGCTCAACCACACCCCCAGCTGCTCACCGGAGTGTTCTGGCAAAGCCCACTAGGCTGCTCCTGCAGGTCTTCACTGGGGGATTCTAGGCAAGCTCCTTTCCACGGAGCCACAGCCCCCACTGGGGATGGCTAAGCAAGTACTCTACCGCAAACCACACGCTCCCCAGGTTAAAATCTGGAGGTTGTTTAGATTGTGCCCATGGCCTCTGAGCCTACAAGCAGCTGTTGACTAGCAAGGTTTAGCAAGGGAGACCCCAGGGCAGCTCTGGAGAAAGCACAGCTTGACGTCAGCCACGAGTCTCCCCGGTGTGGCTATGCAAGATCCTACTTTTCTGTCCCTCTGCTTTCAAGGTAAAGGGAGATTAAGAGGCTGAGGCTCAGGCAGCCCAGCCATTCTGTGACTCCATGAAATTCTCCTTGGAACAAACCCAAACTAACTGGGGTACTGTGGTAGCTAATTTCAGTTGTGAGCTTAGCAGGGTCTGGAATCACCCAGAAAGGAGTCTCGATGAGGGACTATCTGTGGGAGAGCGCCCTGATTGTGTCAATTGATGTCGGAAGACCCATCTTTCTGGTGGGCAGGACCATTTCTTGGCTGGGATCCTGGAGTGTGGAAATGGAGTGAGTGAGCTGAGCTGCAGTACGCAGCCATCATGCCATGCTTCCTGATAGTGATACAATGTGAGCTGCTTCAAGCTCCTGCTGCCTTGACACACACACACACACACACACACACACACACACACACACACACACACACACACCCGCACCACCATTGTGGACTGTAATCTGGAACAAGCCCTTTCTCCCTTCAGTTGCTTTTGTGGAGTATTTTATTACAACAACAGAAAAAGGAACTAGGGGCTGGAGAAACTGCTCAGCAGCTAAGAACAGGCTCTCCCGCTGCTCTTGCAGAAGGCTGGAGTCGTGTTCCCAGAACCTGTGCTGGGCTGCACATGGTTGCCTATAACTCCGTCTCCAGGGGATCTGACACACATACGCACGCGCGCACACACATACACACACACACACACACACACACACACACACACACACACAGAGAGAGAGAGAGAGAGAGAGAGAGAGAGAGAGAGAGAGAGAGAGAGAGAGAGGGAGGGAGAGAGAGAGAGAGAAGGGCCATACAGTGGGCTGTCATCCAGAGCCTGGACTGGCTGAGCCCCTACCAACCTGAAACTACTAGTCTAAGCAAAGGGACCTTACTCTTGAGTGCTGTGTGCTGGGTGACATCCAAACTTTGGAGTTCTCCTCCCTGTTAAAACTAAGACCCTATGATAGTACTGCAGTCCCAAGAGCACCCAGATCAAGCTTGGACCCCTTCCTGGGGTGTTTGTGGCCCAGGGAGCAATACTTTTTGTTTGTTTTTTTTTTGTTGTTGTTGTTTTTTTTGAGACAGAGTTTCTCTGTGGAGCCCTGGCTGTCCTGGAACTCACTCTGTAGACCAGACTGGCCTCGAACTCACAGATATCTGCCTGCCTCTGCCTCCAGAGTGTTGGGACTAAAGGAGTGTGCCATCACTGCCTGGCAGAACACATGGATATCATGTAGCCAGGGTGGCCTCAAACTTGCTCCTTCGTTGAGGATGACCTTGAACTCCTGATTCCCCTGCCTCCCTCTCCAGTCACAGCCCTAAGATTATAGGCCTGCCCCAACACACCTGCTTTATGTGTTGATGGGGACCAAACCCAGAGCCTTTGCTTGCTTGTTTGAGACAGGGTCTCAATGTGTAGCCCTGGCTGTCCTGGCACTCACTCTATAGACCAGGCTGGCCTCAGACTCAGGTGTAAATGAATCACGATGCCTGGCTTGGACCTGGAGTCTTGGCAAACCCGGTTAGCACGTCACAACTGAGCCCCGCCGGGCCCTAACACACACCTTTAAGGTCTCCTCATTGTAATGCATGAGGAAGGCTATCACCGCGGCACTGCTGCGGCTAATGCCCCGCGTGGAAAAGACCAGGATGACCGATCGGAGCCGGAAGTGAAGTTCTGCAAAGGAAGGAAGGGTGAGGGCTGTGCATGGCACTCTTCCCTGGGACCTCAGTGGCCATCGGGAGACCAGTAGTGCGTCTCTGGTGGTCTCTTCGGGGGGGCCTCGCACCCAGGGCACAACACTAGATGTTCAGAGGCCAAGAAGAAGAAATACTGAAAGTTCAAAGCCAGCCTAGGCAACCCAGGAAGATGCTGTCAAAATAAAAAATAAAAAGAGGACTTGGGGGTGGTGGTGGTCCTAGAATCCCCCAGTGAGGGGCTGAGGGTGTGACTCAGTGATAGAGTCTCTTCCTAGAATCCCCCAGTGAGGGGCCGGGGTGTGACTCAGTGGTGGAGCACCTGCCTAGAATCCCCCAGTGAGGGGCTGGGGTGTGGCTCTGTGGTAGAACACCTGCCTAGAATCCCCCAGTGAGGGGCTGGGGTGTGGCTCAGTGGTAGAGCTCCTGACTAGAATCCCCCAGTGAGGGGCTGGGGTGTGGCTCAGTGGTAGATCACCTGCCTAGAATCCCCCAGTGAGGGGCTGGGGTGTGGCTCAATGGTAGAGCTCCTGACTAGAATCCCCCAGTGAGAGGCTGTGACATGGCTTAGAGATATAGCACTTACCTAGCATATGTTCCACCCTAGCTATATCTCTCAAGTTGAAAAAAATGAATTAAAACATAAAAGTAGTGAATTGCTGGGCAATAAGGGGTGGTGGAGGCTACTATCCCACTCCCAGCCATCCAAGCAGCAGCTTGGGCTGGGGGCTAAGTTGGTGCTATGCTGGAAGCCAAGACTCCTGACCCAATTCAATCTAGCTCTGCTAGGAATCTTGCTTTTCCTGGTCAACTCTGGGCCCTGAGACTGACTGAAAGATCTACCTTTGTCATGCTAAGCAGCTGATGGGCATTGCTATGCCAAGTGGGAAGCCAGAGCAGAGTCAAGTAGACACATGAAGCATGATGAGAATCAGAGCTAGATGGTTTGGGGGTACCTTCCTTCTCTGTGGTAGTTGGAATGTAGTTGGCCCCCATACCCTCATAGGGAGTGGTACTATTAGGAGGTGTGGCTTTGTGGGAGTGGGTGTGGCCTTGTTGGAGGAAGTGTGTCACTGTGGGGGCGGGCTTTGAGGGACACTGCCCAGTGTGCCAGTTGACTTCCTGCTGCCTGCCTATCAAGATGTAAGAGCACTCAGCTCCAGCACCATGTCTGCCTGCACACGGCCATGCTCCCCATCATCATGATAACGGACTGAACTTCTGGAACTATAAGCGAGCCACTCCAATGAAATGTTTTCTTTATGAGAGTTGCTGGCCTCATGGTGTCTCTTCATAGCAATGATAATCCTAACTAAGACATTCTCTTACCCAACTCTACTGACTAGCACTGAGCAAAGAAATAGAAAGAGAAGCATTTCCGAAGCCCCAGACCCCTCAGAGGACCAGGCACCCAAAACATCGTGCACCCATGTTTGGCTGGTATCTTCACTGTAGGGCTGGCTCAGAAGGGCATGGCTATGTAGCTACGGTAAGAACAGGACGATCATACACAGTGTCTGTCACTAGACGCTACTCCTAAGCTGCTCATGTAAACAGTTGAGGGCTTTGGAGGGGTTGGATGTGCTAGACTGTGTACTTCCCCAAGTCCTGGGGTAGGAGAGGGGGGCAGGTCTCGGACAGGGAGATACTTGTGAGCACAGGAAGGGTGATGCCCAATCTGGAAATCCTCCTTACCCATGAAGTGACAGATGTGGCGGAAAAAGGGGAAAAGGCTGGAATACGAAGTATCCTCGATCTTGATATGCAGGAGTCTGTCTGCATCGCCTACAAAACTGAAAGACGGCAGCATGGTGTTGAGTATCTGTTTCCTCCTTATTAGATCATTCCTTCTGGGAGGGAGGGAGGCTTCTTAAGACTCAGGAAGTAAAGGAAATTACCAAGGCTCAGGAACTGAGACACTGGCAAGTCCCAGCAACTTCCTGAAACCTACAAGATTCACAAGGCCCCTCCCCCAAAGCTATATAGGTAGTAACAACTGCAGGTGAGAGGGGACTCTCTGGCCTGAGGAGCTCTGTGAGTCATGCAGGGAGTTCCAGGATCACGGGTTATCATGAATCCTGACTCAGCTGCCTGAGTCATCCATGTTCCTGTAAGTGATCTCCCCCCACACACACATGCACCTGTTCAAAAACCACAGTAAACTCACTGGTTCTCTGTGTTGGACTTTGGTGGTGCTGATCTTACTTTAACCTGTCATCAGTGTCCTATCTGGGGTGAAGAGATGCTTTATTTGCATCGCCCAGGAAAAGTCACACAACACATGGGTGATCAACCAGCCCCACTGTGGTGTCCCTTGTCCATAGCACAGAAACCACAAGGGAATGATTGGGGATTGACATTGGGATGACAGGAACTGGTAGGAATATTACCTGGGGTCTGGGGAGATGGCTCAGCTGGTATAAGGCTTGTCAGGCAAGCATCAGGACATGAGTTTGATTCCCAGCCCCCACAGAAAAAGCCAGGCTTGGTGGTCTGCACTTGTAATCCCAGCACTGGGGAAGTGGAAGCAGATGGACCCCTGGCCTCACTGGCTGGCCTGATCAGCCTACGTGGTGAGTTCTAGGCCCTGGAGAGATGCTGTCTTTTAAAGTATGTGGGCAGTCCCCGCAGAATGACACGGGAGGTTGTCACTGGGCCTGCACATGCAGTCACACACTTGCACGTGCACATAGAGAATAGAATGCCTGACGGAAGATATCTACCTAGAATTTGCCAGTGAGGGGCTGGAGGTGAGGCTCAGTGGGCAAGCACTGTGCTGGTGTCTTCCACTGAAAGAAAAGGGCTGGTTCAGCAGAAGAGAGCGTTTGGCCAGTGTGTGAAAGGCCTGGGTTTAATCCCTAGTACCGGAGGGGGAAAAAAATAGCTACAACAAACTATGGCAGCAGGAAACACGTAAATGAGTGACTCTTCACCTAAGATAGAAACCAGGGGCTGGGGAGATGGCTCACTCATCAAAACGCCTGCTGCACAAGCATAATACCCGTGTTACAACCCCAGGCATGCGCATAAGAAGCTGCGCTAACAGGGGCACGCATCTGGAACCCTAGCACTGGGGGCACCAAGACAGATCTCCCAAGCTTGCTGTCTAGCCAGATTATCCAGTCCATGAACACCAGGCTCAGTGAGGGACCCTGTCTCAAAAAAATAAAATGGAGTGCTGGGCGGTGGTGGCGCACGCCTTTGATCCCAGCGCTCGGGACGCAGAGCCAGGTGGATCCCTGTGAGTTCAAGGCCAGCCTGGTCTACAGAGAGAGAGTTCCAGGACAGCCAGGGCTACACAGGGAAACCTTGTCTCAAAAAACTGATAAATAAATAAAAAAAAGTAGGGCATGACAGAGGAAGGCACCCAACAACATATGGCCTTCATATGCACAGGCCGCTGCACGTGTGTGCACAATCACTCATACACACACACACACACACACACACACACACACACACACACACACATCACCATTACTTACTAGGGTGTTGCCTCCAATGAAACATTGACATGTGCTTTAATTTTCAGATCCTTGTGAATCCTAGCATTGCAGGCTTGACTGAATTTGCCCAGGAAGAGCTTGCCTGGAATGATCTCAATTGGGTATGGCTGGAAGGCGTCCAGTTCCTGGGATGGGGAAGGAAGAAGGCTGCTGCGGACACACCATGGAAGAGAAGGGGGAGGTCCAACTCTGGAGGTGGAGCTCGAAGGTGAGCTCAGAAGAGCAATCCCAAGACAGTGAAGGAGACTGGGAGCTTGAGTTTCCAACACACTGGCAATGAGTACCTCACAGGAAAAGCCAGAGGCCTCTCCTGTGTGTGAAACAAGGATTGACTCACAGCATCCCAGCACATGAACAGGGCTCCACACAGACGTCCCCTTCCCTCATGGCACCGGTCTGTACCTGGACATACCCACAAAGGTTGGAACTGACCATCTGTGGCCCAAAACTTGTCCAGCTGAGGTTGGTGCTGGCTGCCAAGAAACGTGAATCCAATCCCTGTGCCCCACATGTTTGAAGAGAATCTGATTTCCATATATGTATCATGGCACTTGAGAGAGTGTGTGTACACATGAATCCATGCACACACGCATGCATGCACACGCACAGCACAAAGCAAATCAATGTATTCAGAAAAAAGAAGTCTAGCAGCATTCTTGGTACAAGATACTGGAAAAGAAAAGGGTTATCATGGTTCTCAGTTTCAGAGACTTTAATCCATTTTAGTGGGGAAGACACGGTGGTTGGGTCCTGCCCATGGCAGTGAGGAAAGTTGCCAACCCCTAGGGCCTACTTCAACCAGCCAGGCTCCACCTCCTAAAGGCTCTGTGGCCATCTGAGGAGGGACTCTGGCTGGGGAACAAGGGTTCAAGGCATCTGCCTATGGGGGACATTTCAGAATCAGCTCCAGCACTGTCTGAGTTAGCATACTGCTCCCCTGAAACCACACCCCCTCTAGATCCCCGAGTTTGGCTTCCTCATAATGTGTTAACTCTGAATTTGTCATTATGGACTGAAGCCCCAGTTGTTCGGGGGCTCTTCTCCCCACGCCCATCTCCCCCATGTCCTCTATCCCTATCTTCTCTTTCTCTGCCTCCACTTACCTGTCAGTCTCCAGCCTCACCTCCTAGAAGGGGATGCTCCTCCCCTTGCCTCACCTGGGGCATCCAGATGATCTTCTGGGTCCGGAAGAAATGGTACAGGCCAGAGAAGCACTCGTAGCCCCCTCTGAGGACATGGACAGGTTGGCGGGTCAGGTGGGTGAGGATCTGTCCAAATTCCACGGCGGGTCCAGGTAAGAGTTCTACGGGTGAGGGCCAAAGAGGTACAAGGTGTGTTTAGCATTTGCCTAGTGTTAGAATGGATGGCCACTTCCAACTAAAAAGCAATTACTCAGAAACCCAAGTCAAGGGGCACATAAAACAAAATTACGAAACAAAATCCGAGTCAGGTATAGAGAGAAACGTTACAAGAGAAAACTTGTTTTTAAGATTTTTAAAAACATGTATGGGTGTTTCACCTGCATGTATGTCTGTGTACCACAAGTGTGCAGTACCTGCAGAAGCCAGAAGAGGGCAATGGATCCCCTGGAACTGGAGTTATAGACAGCATGAGCAACCCTTTGGTTGCTGGGAATCCAACCCAGGTCCCCTGGAAGAGCAACCAGAGCTCTTAATCACTGAGCCATCTCTCTAGCCCAAAACTTTTATTACTTTTAATTATGTGCATATGTGTGTGTTTGTGAGTTTGTGCACATGAGTGCAGGTGCCCATGGAGGCCAGTACAGGGCACCTGATCCCCAAGATCTGGAGTTACAGGTGGTTGTGAGCCATCTGACATGGGTTCTGGTAACCGAACTCAGGTCCTCTATAAGAGCAGTATGTATACGTTAACAGATGATAGCTTGTTATAGCGGAGTAATACTCCATTCCGTGGATTACTGCATGCTGCTTCATCCATTCACTGGCTTATTAAGACTCTGTGCTGTTTCCACCACTGGCTATCATGAACAAAGCACACGTTTTTGTGTGCTGTGTCTTCATTTCCTTGGAGTATGGACCCTAGCCCTTTGAGGAACCACCATGGTTTTCTTTACACTAGGCCGTCTTACGTTCTGTTCTTACATTAGTTGTTGTTGTTTTGCTTTTATGTTTTTTGAGACAGGGTTCCTCTGTGTAGCCCTGGCTGTCCTGGAACTCTCTCTGTAGACCAGGCTAGCCTCGAACTCAGAGATCCATCCGCCTCTGCCTCCCAAGTGCTGGGACTAAAGGTGTGTGCCACAAATGTCCGGCTTTGAACTAGTTTTTAAATTTATAAGATTTATTTTCTTTTTAATAGTGTGTGTGTGTGTGTGTGTGTGTGTGTGTGTGTGTGTGTGTGTGTGCGCACACACACACAGGCATACATGTGCCACAGTGTACACATGGAGAGGAGAGGCCAAGCTTTAGGAGTTGGTTCTCTCCTGCCCCATTTTGGGATCCAGGAATGGAATTCAGCTTGTGGGTCTGTTCATAAGCGCTTTCTACCACTTCACTGACTCTGATTTTGTTTTTTGTTTCTTGAGTCAGGGTCTCACTCTGAGGCAGTCACGCCTAGAACTCACTATATAGCCCAGATTTGCCTTCACAATTGTGGCAATCCTCCAGCCTCAGTCTCTCCAATGCTGGGACTAGTCATGAGTCGCTATGCCCAAGCCCTTTTACTCCTTGTTTAGTGGTGTACAAAGGTTCTGGTGTCCCCACATTCTCACCAACACTTGTTATTACCCGTCTTTTTTATTATGCCCACCCTAGGGGTGTAAAGTGGTATCTCCTTGTAGTTTGGTCTTGTTTCTGAGGTGAAATGTATGTAGCTCAGTCTGGCCTGGAACTCATTATCCTCTTGGCTCAGCCTCCTGAGTGTGAGGATTAGAGGCATGTATCATTGTGTCTGGACTTAAGTCACCTAGAACACTGTGGAGATGTATCTATGGATGCAAATGTGAGGGTGTTTCCAGGGAGAATTAACTGAGGATGGAGGACCTATCCCAAATGTGGTGGCACCATTCCACAGGCTGGGGGCTGGGCCAGAATGAAAAGAGGAAACGGAAGGCCAGTGGGAAAACTCAGTGGGTCCGGGTGTTTGCTGCCAAGCTGGAGACCCTGAATTCCATCTCTGGACACCACAGGGTAGGAGAGAACCAACGCCTGCCCACTGTCCCCTGACTTCCACACGCCCATCATGGCACGTGGGCCCCTCCCACTTGCACACACACATAAAGATGGGGGGTGGGTTACCCGGCACAGCACACATGGTCTTCCCCGCTCTCTGCTTTCTGGTTAGCCGTGAACCGAACAGGCCTCCTCCACTCCGACAGCATGACAGCATGTCAGGCCCACGGCTCCAGTGACTGTGACTGAGTCCTAGGAAGCCACGGGCCAGACTCAGTCTTGGCTCTCTTAAGCTGTTTCTGTCACAGCAGCATGAAAGTCACTAATACAGACCTCATGGGGCTTCCACAGAAAGTCTGCACTAGCCTGCCTCAGCCAAGATACCCTGGGACCCTTAAGAGCCCACCAGCAGTAGGAGGCCAAGGGCTCTGTTCTCCAAACCGACTTTCTGGAGCTGGGGAGATGGCTCAGTCAGGAGAGTGTCATGGAAGCCCGAGGACCCGAGTTCTATCCCAGAACCCACATAAAAATGCCAGGCTTGGTGCTGTGTGCTTACAATCTCATCAGTGAAGATGGACAGATTCCTGGGACTCCACAGCCGGCCTGCCCAGCTGAGCCAGTGAATTATACATAATGAGAGCGTCTCAGAAAATAAGTAGGGCCGGGAAGATGATTGAGTGTGTAAAGGTGCCTGTCACCAACTCAGATGACCAGAGTTCCACCCCAGGACCTGTATGGTGGAAGGAGGGAACTGACTCCCGCTGACCCCCACACAAGCTCTGTGACATCCCTACCCCCCCTCCCGCCCCCACAAAAAAAAGACAACACAATTTACAAAACTTTTTGGAAGGAGACCAGCACCTAGGCATCGACACCTAAGGCTATCCTCTGGTCTCCATGGTTACAAAATAAAATCAACTAGGGAAAGAGAAATAAATCAATTTGATTAAATAAACTGAACTTCTGTTCTCGAAAACAAGGACACTTCCAGAAGGGACTGCTCAGGACATAAGTGACAAGGACCTGTGTGGAGGATGAACCTGCGTCTGTAAACCACGGTGGGGAGAATTTGCAGGTTTCCAGGCGGAAGTCACTCCCATCTCCGCGGGGCCTGGCTCAGAGGTCCCTGAGTCCAGACAGTAGGTTACAGGGCACCAGCCATGTCTCTCTTGAGCAAGAGACTAGTGGGTCAGAGGCCACAGGGGAGGAGGGCTACAAGTGCCAGGCCACACTGAGGCTGTTACCTTTAGCCTAGATTTCTGCCTCTCCACCACTAGAGACGTACCGTCCACAACTACAGGGCCAGCATTAGCCACAACTGGGGACTCCCACAGAACCTGGCCACCTCACCAAGCTGCTTCAGCTGACTGTTTCGTCAAGAATAGTAGTTGGGCATGTTGGTAAACACTTGCAATCTCAGGTCTCAGGGAGACGGAGGCAGGAGGATGACACATTGGATCCCTGGGCCTCAACCGTACCAGCGGTGGTGGGAAGGCAGGTGTGCAGGACCACACCTGGCTGAAAGGTATCATGTTAGCACACCTGGCTTCAAAAAGCCAGCTTTCTGTTTTGCTTCTCTTTTTCTTTCTTTTTGAGACAAAGCCTCACTACATAGCCTTGGCTGGCCTCCGTCGTACTCCCTGTGTAGATCAGGCTGGCCTTGAGTTCACAGAGAGCTGCCTGAGTGCTGTGATTCTGCTTCCTGAGTGCTGGGATTAAAAGTGTGTGCCACCAGGCCCAACTCAAAAGACATCAACGTTTTAAATGAGGAAAGCTGCCTAGAGTGGAAATGTTACATTTGGCTGTGGTCTCCTTCTGAGTGGGAAGTTCAAGAGCACAATGCCACCCCTTATAGAGTAAAGGTTTGTTTTTAAAACATTACATTTATTTGTTTACTTATTTACTCACTTACTTGTGGGAGGGGCACACATCTGCCACCGCATGTATATGGAGGTCAGAGGACAACTTGTAGAAGATGGTTCTCCCCACGCATGTGGGTCCCCGGGATCGAACTCAGGTTGTCGGGCTTGGCAGCAAGCCCCTTTATCGCTGAGACACCTCACCAGCCCCAGTTCTTAGGGCTCCAGGGTCCAGCCTGGAGTCCTAAAACTATGAACAAGCTGAGCATGTCATACACACCAGCAATTCCAGCACCGGGGAGGTGGAGGCAGGGGGATCAGAAGTTCAAGCTACCGTGATGTCAAGGACAGCCTGGACTACATGAGACCCTGTCTCAAAAAAGGTGGGGCCATAGCCGGGCGGTGGTGGCACACGCCTTTAATCCCAGCACTCGGGAGGCAGAGCCAGGCGGATCTCTGTGAGTTCGAGGCCAGCCTGGACTACCAAGTGAGTTCCAGGAAAGGCGCAAAGCTATACAGAGAAACCCTGTCTCGAAAAACCAAAAAAAAAAAGGTGGGGCCAGAGAGATGGCTCAGAGGATAAAGGCGCTTGCTGCCAAGTCTGATCACCTGAGTTTGATCCCCACGATGGCAGAATCCACATGTGCTGTGGCATGTGTCACACACACACACACACACACACACACACACACACACACCATGCATGCATACATACATACATACATACATACATACATGAAAACATCATTTTCCAAAAGTTTTAATTATGTGTGTCTGGGGCGGACAGGGGATGTGCACATGAATCAGGTGCCCTCACACACCAGAGGGGTCAGATGCCCCGAAGCTGTAGTTACAGGGAGTTGTGAGTCACTCTACATAAATGCTGGGACTCCTACTCAGGTCCTCTGAGAGAACAGTACATGCTCTTAAACTGCTGAGCCATCTCTCCAGCCCAAAATGTACAAACAAACAAGTCACAGGGTTAGGGGCGTAGCCCAGTTGGTTGGTAGAGAGCTTGCCTAGCTAGCATGCCCAAGGCCCTGGGTCCACCCCCAACACTGCATAGGACACGGTGGCATAAGCCTGTAATCTCAGCACTCAGAATGTGGAGAGAGGAGGTTCAGAAGTTCAAGATCATCCTCAGCTATATCGTGAGTTGGAGGCTAGCCTGGGCTACACGAGACTCTAATTCAAAAGTAGCCAATATCTGCAAACTGAAGCCCAAAGGAACCCACACATGGAAGAAGGAATTTCCAAGCCAGAGACCACTTGGGAAGGAAGAGTCTCAATGGCAGGTGTTAGTAAAGGCAGAACCTTAGTGCCACCCAGTGGCAGGGAGTGTAAATGGCCATTCTCATCCCATCAGCACTGGGCCCAACTGTTGAGGAATATTATTTAAGGTGTGTTACTTTTGTTTACGTTGCGTTTGTTTAACTCTGTGAAGCTGTGTTATTGTGCCTGTAAAAACACCTGATGGTCTAATAAAGAACTGAATGGCCAATAGCAAGGCAGGAGAAAGGGTAGGCGGGGCTGGCAGGCAGAGAGGATAAATAGAGGGAGAAATCTGGGAGGAAAGAAAAAGAAAGAGCCAGAGAAGGAGGAGGACTCCAGGAGCCAGCCACCCAGCTACACAGCCAGCTACAGAGTAACAGTAAGATTTACAGAAGTAGGAGAACGGGAAAAGCCCAGAGGCAAAAGGTAGATGGGATAAAATTTAAGTTAAGGAAAGCTGGCAAGAAAGAAGCCAAGCTAAGGCCGGGCATTTATAATTAAGTATAAGCCTCTGTGTGTGATTTATTTGGAAGCAGGGTGGTGGGCCCCCCAAAAGAACAAAAACAACCAACAACACTGAACTGATAATAAGCCATCTTCAAACTTTGAATTAAGTATCTTGGAACTGACGACACATGCTTTGGGGGAGTCTTTTAACTTTGTACTACTTTATTTATTCGTCTCTGTATGTACACGCATGTGTGTCACAAACACATGCAGAGGTCAGAAGACGACTTGTAAATTCCCTCCTTTCACCACGTGGGTGCTGGGGATCAAACTGAGGTTGTTAAGCTTGGTGACAGGAGCATCTGCCCGCTGAGCCATCCTACCCCCCCCCCCCCTTTTTGCATAGTACTGAGGCCTGGACCTCAGGCTTTACATGGGAGGCAAGTGTTCTACCACTGAGCTATAGACCCGGCCCAGTTTTAGTTTTTTGTTTGCTGTGATAAAGTTTCACTGTGTAGCCTTGGCTGGCCTAGAACTCGCTATGTAGACCAGGCTGGCCTCAAACTCACAGGAATCACCTGCCTCTGCCTCCTGAGTGTTGGGGTTAAAGGTGTCCGCCATTATGCTTGACTGTTTATTTATTTTGAAACAGGGTTTTATGTACCCCAGCCTGACCTTGAACTTGCTCTGTAGCTTCTGTTCCTCCTGCCTCCACACCCAAGTGTGCACCGCCACACCCAGTACCCGGGATTGGGGTGGACCTACGGCTTCAAGCATGCTAGGTGAGCACTCCGCTACCTAAGCCACAGGTCCAGAACAGTTTTTTGTTTGTTTCTGTTTTCATTGGAAACATGGTCTCACTCTGCAGCCCAGGCTGCCCTGGAACTCAGAGCAATCCTCCTGCTTCAGGCTGCCCAGTGCTGGGATATTATACATGTGCTACCACACCTGGTCCCACCTGACACTTGGATTATAACCTCTGGAGAAACATTGGCTCTCCTGTCTGAGTGGCCCCTGAATTCTGGGCCCAAAGATATGATAATTAGCATATTGTCATGTTGGGCCACTGACTTTGGGGTCATTTGTCATGCAGTGATAGAGAGCTCACTTGATAGGCATGTGGGAGATTTCACCTTCCTCCTCTTTCTCGTCTATCTTTCGTGTGTGTGTGTGTGTGTGTGTGTGTGTGTGTGGTATGCACATGTGTGTGCGTGTCTTTGCATGAGTGGAGGTGCCCACGTGTGCAGATGGCTTAGTTGGTAAAGTGCTAGCCTGGTAAACTGAGGACCCGAGTGTCCCCCCCCCCCCCCCCCCCCCCCGAGCTGTGTGAAAAAGCCGGGCAGAGTGGCACACTTTTGCAATCCTAGCACCAGGAAGGCAGGGTGAGGTGGATCCCCGGGACTTGCTGGCCAGCCAGCTCAGCCTTCTTGGCCATCTCCAGGCTGGCAGAGACGGTCTAAAACACAAGGTGGCTGGCCCTTGAGGCTGACCTCTGGTCTCCACAGGCCTGCGTGCACACACAGACATACACACAGGGAAGTAAAACAGAAATCCTTCCTTCCTCCTTTGTTTCCCTCAGGTAATGTGGTCACAGGCCCACAAAAATGAGGACTATCGACACTGTCTACCCTTCTCGTGCTTGTAAACGCCCCCCGCCCCCCCCCCCCCCCCCCGGGAAGGCTGGGGATGTGGGTCCCTTGGTAAAGTGCTTGCTTAGCATGCTGGAGGCTCTGGGGTGCATTCCTAGCACTGCATGAACCAGGCGTGACTGCACAAGTCTGTCAGCCTAGCACTAAGGAGGCAGAGGTAGGCAGATCTCCGTGATTTCGAGGCTAGCCTCATCTACGAGTTCCAGGACAGCCTGGGCTACATAATAAGAGAGACCCTTTCTCAAATAACACCAAAAAAGACAAAAGGACTAAGAACAACTCTCTTGGGGTGTGATTACCAGTGTTCTCGTCACCCCCCTCCTCTTCTTCTTCTTCCTCCTCTTCCTCCTCCTCCCCCTCCTCCTCCTCCTTAAGCTGCCGCCGCCGCCGCCGTATGCGCAGTTCCAGGGAGCTGGTGTTGCTGTCGTACACGATGCAGTATCTCACACACTCCAGATCCACGGACTCCGGGATGAGGTACTGGTTCTCCCTCTGAGGAAACCACACAGATGCGCTGCTCAGATGCTCAGCTGGGCACACTGTCCCTGCACGACCTCCCAGGGGAGCTTGAGGCAGGCTGGGGGTCCTGTCCTCCTTCCCTTGCTGACCATTAACCGACGGAGAGTCTCTTGGCTCTCTACTCCCTCCCTGTCACTAAGAAGGACGGCAGTGGGGGACTAGACCGGAGAGGGCCTGGCTAGAGAATGGCGGTCCATCACCGAACTCACAGGCCCTCAGAGTCACCGTGGCTGGATGACCGGGAGATGGTGGCAGTACACCTAAACCCCAAATCACTCCTGAAGCAGAAGTCCTGAGGGAGCGAATGTCACCAGAAGAACCATGAGATCGAGTGCAGGTTATGGGATGGCAGGGACTTGGGTCTTCTGTCTAGTCTCTAATTGTGTTACTGACTGTCCCCTCTGCTGTGACGACTACCTACCAAGAGCAGCTTACGGGAGGAGGGGTTCATTTTCACTCAGAGTTTGGGTGTACAGTCAGTTGTGTGGACAAGGTGTGTCTGCCGGGGTGGGAGGCAGAGGTCACATGTGTCCACAGTCAGGAAGCAGAGAGAATGCTGGTGCTCCACGCACTTTCTCCCTCTCGTTTTTATTTTTTTCATGGGGGTGGGGTGGGTTCGAGACAGGGTCTCTCTGTAGCTCTGGCTGTTCTGGAACTCGCTCTGTAGACCAGGCTGGCCTCGAACTCACAGAGATCCTCTGGCCTCTGCCTCCTGAGTGCTGGGATTAAAGGTGTGCACCACCACACCACAGGCCTGAGCCTTGAGGTTCTATAATCCAGCTCATTTCTGGCCTATCCTCTGCTTCCCGATTACGGACAAAATGTGACCTGTTGGCTTCCCTGCCTGCCATCTTGCCTTCCTCACTAAGACAGGACCAAACCCCTCCAACTGTGAGCTCAAGTATCCCCTCCCTCCCCTCCTTCCTGCAATTCTCTTGTCAAGTGTTCTGTCACAGCTGAAGAATGAGAAAAGTAACCAATAAAAGAGTCCTTGAGGTGATGAGCTCACCTGGGGAAGGGATGGGCTCACCTGAGGAGAAGATGAGCTCACCTGAGGAGAAGATGAGCTCACCTGAGGAGTGGATGAGCTCACCTGAGGAGAAGATGAGCTCACCTGAGGAGTGGATGAGCTCACCTGAGGAGTGGATGAGCTCACCTGAGGAGTGGATGAGCTCACCTGAGGAGAAGATGAGCTCACCTGGGGAGTGGATGAGCTCACCTGAGGAGTGGATGAGCTCACCTGAGGAGAGGATGAGCTCACCTGAGGAGAAGATGAGCTCACCTGAGGAGAAGATGAGCTCACCTGAGGAGTGGATGAGCTCACCTGAGGAGTGGATGAGCTCACCTGAGGAGTGGATGAGCTCACCTGAGGAGAGGATGAGCTCACCTGAGGAGTGGATGAGCTCACCTGAGGAGTGGATGAGCTCACCTGAGGAGAAGATGAGCTCACCTGAGGAGAAGATGAGCTCACCTGAGGAGTGGATGAGCTCACCTGGGGAGTGGATGAGCTCACCTGGGGAGAAGATGAGCTCACCTGAGGAGTGGATGAGCTCACCTGGGGAGAAGATGAGCTCACCTGAGGAGAAGATGAGCTCACCTGAGGAGTGGATGAGCTCACCTGGGGAGAAGATGAGCTCACCTGAGGAGAAGATGAGCTCACCTGGGGAGAAGATGAGCTCACCTGAGGAGAAGATGAGCTCACCTGAGGAGTGGATGAGCTCACCTGAGGAGAAGGTGAGCTCACCTGAGGAGAAGATGAGCTCACCTGAGGAGTGGATGAGCTCACCTGAGGAGAAGATGAGCTCACCTGAGGAGAAGATGAGCTCACCTGAGGAGTGGATGAGCTCACCTGGGGAGAAGATGAGCTCACCTGAGGAGAAGATGAGCTCACCTGGGGAGAAGATGAGCTCACCTGAGGAGAGGATGAGCTCACCTGAGGAGAAGATGAGCTCACCTGAGGAGAAGATGAGCTCACCTGAGGAGAAGATGAGCTCACCTGAGGAGAAGATGAGCTCACCTGAGGAGTGGATGAGCTCACCTGAGGAGAAGATGAGCTCACCTGGGGAGAGGATGAGCTCACCTGAGGAGAAGATGAGCTCACCTGAGGAGTGGATGAGCTCACCTGAGGAGAAGGTGAGCTCACCTGAGGAGAAGATGAGCTCACCTGGGGAGTGGATGAGCTCACCTGAGGAGAAGATGAGCTCACCTGAGGAGAAGATGAGCTCACCTGAGGAGTGGATGAGCTCACCTGAGGAGAGGATGAGCTCACCTGAGGAGTGGATGAGCTCACCTGAGGAGAGGATGAGCTCACCTGAGGAGTGGATGAGCTCACCTGAGGAGTGGATGAGCTCACCTGGGGAGAAGATGAGCTCACCTGAGGAGAAGATGAGCTCACCTGAGGAGAAGGTGAGCTCACCTGAGGAGAAGATGAGCTCACCTGAGGAGAAGATGAGCTCACCTGAGGAGAGGATGAGCTCACCTGAGGAGTGGATGAGCTCACCTGAGGAGTGGATGAGCTCACCTGAGGAGAAGATGAGCTCACCTGAGGAGAAGATGAGCTCACCTGAGGAGTGGATGAGCTCACCTGGGGAGAAGATGAGCTCACCTGAGGAGAAGATGAGCTCACCTGAGGAGAAGATGAGCTCACCTGAGGAGAAGATGAGCTCACCTGAGGAGTGGATGAGCTCACCTGAGGAGTGGATGAGCTCACCTGAGGAGAAGATGAGCTCACCTGAGGAGTGGATGAGCTCACCTGAGGAGTGGATGAGCTCACCTGAGGAGAGGATGAGCTCACCTGAGGAGAAGGTGAGCTCACCTGAGGAGAAGATGAGCTCACCTGAGGAGAGGATGAGCTCACCTGAGGAGTGGATGAGCTCACCTGAGGAGAGGATGAGCTCACCTGAGGAGTGGATGAGCTCACCTGAGGAGTGGATGAGCTCACCTGAGGAGAAGATGAGCTCACCTGAGGAGAAGGTGAGCTCACCTGAGGAGAAGATGAGCTCACCTGGGGAGTGGATGAGCTCACCTGAGGAGAAGATGAGCTCACCTGAGGAGTGGATGAGCTCACCTGAGGAGAAGGTGAGCTCACCTGAGGAGAGGATGAGCTCACCTGGGGAGAAGATGAGCTCACCTGAGGAGAAGATGAGCTCACCTGAGGAGAAGATGAGCTCACCTGAGGAGAAGATGAGCTCACCTGAGGAGTGGATGAGCTCACCTGAGGAGAAGATGAGCTCACCTGGGGAGTGGATGAGCTCACCTGGGGAGAAGATGAGCTCACCTAAGGAGAAGATGAGCTCACCTGAGGAGAGGATGAGCTCACCTGAGGAGTGGATGAGCTCACCTGAGGAGAAGATGAGCTCACCTGAGGAGAGGATGAGCTCACCTGAGGAGTGGATGAGCTCACCTGAGGAGAAGATGAGCTCACCTGAGGAGAAGATGAGCTCACCTGAGGAGAAGATGAGCTCACCTGAGGAGAAGATGAGCTCACCTGAGGAGAGGATGAGCTCACCTGAGGAGAAGATGAGCTCACCTGAGGAGAAGATGAGCTCACCTGAGGAGAAGATGAGCTCACCTGAGGAGTGGATGAGCTCACCTGAGGAGAAGATGAGCTCACCTGAGGAGTGGATGAGCTCACCTGAGGAGAAGATGAGCTCACCTGAGGAGTGGATGAGCTCACCTGAGGAGAAGATGAGCTCACCTGAGGAGAGGATGAGCTCACCTGGGGAAGGGATGCGCTCACCTCAGGAGAAGATGAGCTCACCTGAGGAGAAGATGAGCTCACCTGAGGAGAAGATGAGCTCACCTGAGGAGTGGATGAGCTCACCTGAGGAGAGGATGAGCTCACCTGAGGAGTGGATGAGCTCACCTGAGGAGTGGATGAGCTCACCTGGGGAGAAGATGAGCTCACCTGGGGAGAAGATGAGCTCACCTGAGGAGTGGATGAGCTCACCTGAGGAGAAGATGAGCTCACCTGAGGAGTGGATGAGCTCACCTGAGGAGAAGGTGAGCTCACCTGAGGAGAAGATGAGCTCACCTGAGGAGAGGATGAGCTCACCTGAGGAGTGGATGAGCTCACCTGAGGAGTGGATGAGCTCACCTGAGGAGAAGATGAGCTCACCTGAGGAGAAGATGAGCTCACCTGAGGAGAAGGTGAGCTCACCTGAGGAGTGGATGAGCTCACCTGAGGAGTGGATGAGCTCACCTGAGGAGTGGATGAGGTCACCTGGGGAAGGGATGAGCTCACCTGGGAGGGGGGTGACGTCACCTGGGGAGGAGAGAGCTCCCCTGGGGAGCGGATGTAGTCTCACAGTACTAGACTCATCCAGGAACCTAACAGACGTTCTAGAACTCAAGGATTCCTGAGTGGCTGACAGCTCAGAGTGTGGCCTTTACTTGCTCTCAGGGTCCCTTCTGAGCCCGATGCTGTCTGGGCAACCTGGCTATGTGATGCAGAAGTCCCAACAGAGGCATGCAGGAGACAAGTGCCCATGCATTCTGCTTTACAGTATAGCGTTAAGGGCCACAGAAGTCCAGACTAACAAGGATCTCTGGAACTCAAAGGGGAGAAAGCTCACTGGTCTAGAAGCTCAAGAGAACATTCAGGGAGATGCCTGTTGCCTGGTGGGGGTCCTCACATCACATCCTAGCACAGGGAAGCTGAGGCAGGAGGCTCTTGAGCTCTAGGACAGTCTAGGCCACATACCAAGACTCTGGCTAAGAATAAATAAGATAAGGGCCAATGAGCTGCCTCAGCAGGTAAAGGTGCTTGCTGACAAGCTTGAGGACCTGAGTTCAATCCCTGGGACCCACATGTAGAGGTTATCTTCTGATGCCCACATATGTGACATGGCCTGGCCATGCCCAGGTACATACCCACCCACCACAGAGAGAGACGGGAGGCGGGGAGACACACACACACACACACACACACACACACACACACACACACAGATAAGTGTAATAAAAGGGCTGAAGAAGTCACTCAGCAGTTAAGAGCACTTGCTACACTTGAAGAAAACTTGAGTTCGGTTCCCAGCACCTACTTTGAGTGGCTCACATCTGCCTGTAACGCAAGCCCTAGGGGATTCAATGGATCCAATGTCCTCTTCTGGACTCTGCAGGCATCTGCACTCATGCACACACATGTACACACACACACACACACACACACACACACACACACACACTTTTGTTTTTGTTATTCGAGACAGGGTTTCTCTCTGTAGTTTTGGTGCCTGTCCTAGATCTCGCTCTGTAGACCAGGCTGGCCTTGAACTCACAGAGATCTACCTGCCTCTGCCTCCTGAGTGTGCCCAGCTTACACACACACATTTTTTAAAAAAATAATAATGTAATAAAATTTTTAAGAAACATAAGGTGGAAAGTGATAGAAAAGGATAAGTGCCATCCTTTGGCTTACACACACACACACACACACACACACACACACTCACACACAATCACATGATCACATAATATACACAGTTACACAATACACATCATGATTACATAATACACTCACACAACCATAATACACACACGTTACACACACATATACACACAATCACATGATCACATAATTCACACACGATCATGTAATATACATACACGATTATATAATACATTCACACAATCACATAATACACACTCACAGACACACTACACATACACCACACACATACATATACACACAGGCACACAAACATAGACACACACACACAATCATATGATCACAATACATACACGATCGCATAATACACATACACGATTACATAATACACTCACACAATCACATAACACTCACACACAAACAAAAAATGGTAAACAAGGATTGGGAAGTGTGCTGGGTAGAGCGAAGGCCCCTCTCTGGTCACTGGTACGTATGTGCCAACAATCTGTACTGACGACCTACTAGATGCCAGAGGCTAGACCAAGTAGGACCCACCACCAAGCTCACGGCCAAGTCCTGGGGACGGAGACAGCAGTGTCCACAGGCTGTATGGACCTTCATTCCCAGATTACAGCCAGCATGACTTACAACATGCTTACTAATGGCAGGAACAGCGAGTGTCTACCAGGAAGAACTCCAGGGATGTGGGAGGGATCCATGGGACATGCACCACCCCCGCCAACCTGTCCCTCACAGTTGATGCCACCCTCTGGACCCAGGATAAAACCTCCCTGTCCTCCCCACCCTCGCAAGGTCCCCAGGCTGCCTGCTTCTGACTCAGTCTGATACCTTCTTCACTCTAAGGGCAGTGATCACATGGCTCTCGTCATATTGCCTTTTGGATCGAACATCTGGGAAAGAAAAGAGTTGAACTCAGAACAGGAACTGTAAAGGAACACAACACCGGTGGGTAGGTGGGTAACTGTCCACTCAAAACACAGTGTGATCTCAACACCTAGTGTGTATGTGGGGGGGATGGAGACAGGAGGACTGTGAGTTTGAAGCCAGCCAGGGCTACATAGCAAGACTCTGGTCTTCAAATAAATAGTTTCTGCATTTATATGTGCGCTGGAGGATGCCCACATGCCACACACAAGTGGGGGTCAGAGGATAACCTGTGGGGGTCAGTTCTCTCTCTCCACCTTGTGGGGTCCAGGGGCTGGACACATGCCACCAGCCTCGACAGCAAACACCCTTACCCACGGAGCCGTCTCTCCAGCCCTAGACTCTGTCTTAAAACAAAACAAAACAACAGCCTTTAACTCCACCACCTCCACCTCTTCATTTCTCCTTTTTTTCTTCCTTTCTTTTTTCTTTTTCTTTCTTTTTTCCCTCCATCTCTTTGAGACCGAGTCTCACCATGTAAGCCAGGGAGCCTGACAGGTCTTGGTTGCGCTTTCTTGGTGCTGGACCACCGACCTTGATCTAATCTTGAATTACCTTTCTAGCAGCGTGACATTCAACAACAGCACTGTTTCCCTTCGTTTGTACGTGCATGTGTATGGTGTGTATACACAAGCATGTGCACAAGCGTGTGTGAGGGTACAGGTCCATGTGTGTGCACATGCCTGTGTGTCTCCCTCAATTCCTCGACAGGCTGACTCTCTCACTGAACCCAGAGCTCACATTTTACCCAATCAAGTCAACCAGCTTGCCCAGCGTGTCCGTCTCGCCCTCCTGAGTTCTGGGATTACAGGCAGGCTGCCAAACCACCTGACTTTTTTCTAAGTTTTTATTTATGTGCACTGGTGTTTTGCCTCCACGTATATCTGTATGAGGGTGTCAGGTTCCCTGGAATTGGAATTACAGACAGTTGTGAGCTGCCATGTGGGTGCTGGGAATTGAACCCAGACCCTCTGGAAGAGCAGCCAGTGCTCTTAACCACGGAGCCATCTCTCCAGCCCCTCACCTGACTTTTTTTTTTCTTTTTTCTTTTGGTTTTTCAAGACAGGGTTTCTCTGTGTAGCTTTGCGCCTTTCCTGGAACTCATTCTAGCCCAGGCTGGCCTCGAACTCACAGAGATCCGCCTGCCTCTGCCTCCCGAGTGCTGGGATTAAAGGCATGCACCACCACCGCCTGGCCTCACCTGACTTTTATACAGTGCTGGGGACCAAACTCTGGTGTTCATGATTCCATGGCAAGCCCTTTATCTACTGAGCCTAATCACAGGCAGCATTTTGAACCAAACAACAAAACAACTTTCTAACGCCATTCATTGCCCTTCCCAAACCTTTGGCAACCTTCAGAAGGAAGGTGTGCAGGCCACTGTTCTCAACATACCCACTGGCTAACCGTGTGCTGATTCATGTGTGTGTGTGTGTGTGTGTGCGTGTGTGTGCTGGTGTATGTGTTGCGTGTCTGGATGTTGGTGTTGGTATGTGTGTTTAGGTGGGTGCGTTGTTGTTTTCTACTCACCCAGTAAGCAGAGGTAGTTGGGCTCCGCTAATCTGGACAGCTTTGAGACCTGATTCAAGATGTTATAGAGTTCTGTTGGCTCACAGAAGAGCAGCTCGGCCATGCTGCTGGGAAAATGAGAAACCGAATTAAACACTTCAGAAATTGGAAGGGAGTGGCTGGGGCTGTAGTTCAATTGGCCAAGTGCTTGCAAGTGTGTGTAAATCACAACTTATGAATATGCAAATATACTGTATAATATATGAATGCATAAATGTGTATTACTACATATGGAACCACATAATACCAAGTAGGCTATAAACAGTTCCTACTTCATTTGTTCTCTCTCTCTCTCTCTCTCTCTCTCTCTCTCTCTCTCTCTCTCTCTCTCGCTCTCTCTGTGTATGTATGTGTGTGTATGCATACGCTGGGAATTGAGCCTAGGGTCCCTGAATGCTAGACAAATACCCTGCCCCTGAGCTACATCAACAGCTCTCATTTTCCTTATTAACAATTAATTAGCGCCTATTAAGCCAAGCCTTAGAAATAACCAAGGTAAACAAAGCAACCTTATTGAGGTTTCAGTCCAGAGGGAATGCAGATATAGCCACACAACAACCTAAGTAGGAAGTGCACTATAAAAGATGCTATGGACTGGGCAGGACTATTTAGCAAGTGCAAACATTTGCTGTGTATGCCTGATGACCCAAGTTTGTCCCTGGAATCCATGGAAGAAGGAGAGGATGAACTCCCAGAAGTTATCCTGTGATCTCCATGTGCATGCCATACCACACCCACAGCCACACTCACATACACAAATTCATCTTTTAGATTTATTTTCTGAGTCTTTTGCCTCCTGTTTGTATGTGTACCATGTGCGCGCCTGTGCTCAGGGAGGCCTGAAGAGGATGTTGGATCCCCTGGAACTGGCATTATGGACAGTTGTGAGCTACCATGTGGGTGTTGGGAACCTCTGCAAGAGTAACTCATGCTCTTAGCCACTAAGCCATCTCTCCAGCCCCTAATAATTTTTCTTAATTTGGGGTTGAAGAGATGGCTCTGTGGTCGAGTGTGTAGTGCTCTTGCAGATCTTAGTTCATATCCTAATTCCCACATCAGGTGGCTCACAACTGCCCGTGACTCTAGTTTCAGGGAATCTGACACCCTCTTATGGCCTTCACTGATACCTGCACTTACGTGTACATATACCCACACACAGACACACACGCATACACACAGTTTAAAACAAAATAAGTCTTTTAAATGTTTTCATTATGATTTAAATAGGTAATGTCTGCCACAGGCTCACACTTTGAATACTCCTTCCCCAGCTGGGGACCTGGTCAGAGGCTATCTACGGAGTGGCTGCTAAACTGAGACAGGAGGCTGGACAAGATGGAGGAGGAAGGGTGAAGGAGAAGAGAACACTATTCTCACGGAAGCAGGAGCGAGCTGGGTGCATGGGAGGGTTAGGAGCAGTCTGATGTGGGTACAGCTGGAGAGGAACATGAGGCTACCGAACAGCATTGTGGGCTGTGGTAAAGATCTGACATCAAGTGGGAACAGGTGACGTGTACAGAGCTGGCTCTGGCTCGGGTGGGGTGGGCTGCTTGTGGGACACTGAGGCTTGACACACTGTTTCTGGGAGCTACCTTCTAGAAGGTTTGTCAAGGAGATCAACAGGGAAAAGTGGAAGAGAAATTGAGTCCAGGAGAGTAACCTTGCTCAAGACAGCTCCACTTAAGTCACTGATACAAGGCTTTAAGAAAAGCCAATATTAGGCCAGGCGGTGGTGGTGCACGCCTTCAATCCCAGCAATCAGGAGGCAGAGCCTGGTCTACAGTGTGAGTTCCAGGACAGCCAGGGCTACACAGAGAAACCCTGTCTCAAAAAGACAGAAAAGAAAAGCCAATATTTGGGGCTGGAGAGGTGGATCAGCAGTTAAGAGCATTTGTTGCTCTTACAGATGACCTATGGTCAGTTCCCAGCATCCACACAGTGGCTCACAACTATCCGTGACTGCAGTTCCAGGGGAGCCAATGCCTTCCAGCCTCTGTTGGCACCAGGCACGTGTGTGGTACACATAAACATACATGAAGGCAAAACACTCATTCAAATCCAAGAAGCTCTAAAAAGCTGTTTTAAAAGCCAGTATTTTCTTCATCGAAGACTTCAGTGTCCCAGGTCCCCAGACCCAGGATCACTCCTGCAATGGGTCCTTCCTGAGCACAGCCACGCCCTCGGACCGGCCATCCTCTGTATATGCGTGTACTTCTCACACCTGTGGAGGACAGAGGACAACCTGGGGTGCCATGCTTCAGGCTCCTTCCCCATTTGAGAAGGCTCTCTCACTGACCTGGAGAGTCACACAGTAGGCCAGGCTACCTGGCCAGTGAGCCTCCAGGGAACCGCCGGTCTCCACCTCCCATGTCACCATCCCCGGGGTTTCAGGCCTGTGCCACTGTGCCTGGCCACTTTACTTGGGTTCTAAGCTATGCAAACTCATGTCCTGACACTTGAGAGGCAAGCACTTTTATCAGCTGGGCCATCTCCTTAGGCCCTTGTCTGTTCTTCCAGGCAAGGCTTCCCAAGAGGGTGGCATCTTTCCACGGCCTTCTCTTCCTCAGCTCCGATGTCAGGCTCTCTTGGGTCTGAATCTGGGCTCTGCCATTTGCTCTTGGTTGTATTATCTTGGGGGCATAATTAGCTTCTCTATGCCTCAGTCTCTACCTCCATAATGCTGCAGTAACACTGTCCCAAGTAGGGTGTGATGGTGCACATGGGAGGTGGAGTCAGGAGAGTCAGAAGTTCACGGTAATTCCCCAGTATAAGGCAAGTTCAAGACCAACCTGGGCTGCATGAAACCTTGTCTTAGAAAAAAAAATCACATTGAGTTGAGATTCAGAATCACCGGTGTAAGACACAGGACCTCAGGGGTCCTTCTGGATCCTTGAATGTAAGTGGGGTCACTTACATTCCCCACCTCCCACATGCTATCGAGCCTTGACCTCTAGACTCCAGACTCCACTCACATGCCTGCTGGATAGCTCAAGTACACCATGGCCAACATTTTTGTTTTGAGCCGGGGTTTTGCTACAAAGCCAAGGCTGGCCTCAAACTCTAAATCCTCCTGCCTCTGCCTCCCAAGGGCAGGGATTACAGGTATGAGCCACCACACTCAACGGTCCCAAACTATTTTGTGCGTTTGTGTTTATATGTTTTTGTGTGTTAGTGTGTGTGTAGGTCAGGAGTTGATGGCAGGTTGTTTTTGTATCTTATTTTCTGAGACAGCATCTCTCACTGAACCTGGAGTTCATCAATTCAGATAGACTAGCTGGCCAGCTAGCCTCAGCAATCCTCCTGTCTCTGCCTCCCTAGCATTGGGATTATAGACACCTGGCTTTTTTTTCCCCTTAGATTTTAAGTGTGTGTGTGTGTGTGTGTGTGTGTGTGTGTGTGTGTGTGTATACATGTGATGTGGAATAATCCTCTTGTACACTGTAAAGATTTGTCACTTGTATTGGTTTAATAAAACGCTGATTGGCCAGTAGCCAGGCAGGAAGTTCGGTGGGTCAATCAAACTGAGGATGAAGATGGAGAAGATTGGAGATAAGAGAGACTCGAGAGAGCCACCCAGGAAGCAAGATGCCAGAGGACCGGTAAACCACAGCCATGTGGCAATACATAGAATAAATAGAAATGGGTTAATTTAAATGCAAGAGTTAGTTAGCAATAAGCCTGAGCTACCGGACAAGCATTTTGCAATTAATATAAGCTTTTGTGTGTTTATTTGGGACTGGGCGGTTGGGACAGAAAACTCTGCCTCAGTTTATATACATGTATAATCTGGCTGTTTCAATGAGTGCTAGAAATTGAACTCAGGTCTCTAGACTTGGGTGGCAAGTATTTTATCAATTGAGCCATCTCTCCAAGGCCACCCAACCTGCCCAGGCCAAAACTTTTACCACATATATGCCGCACCTCTAATACCTGGTCATCTTCAGTCATGCCAGGCTCCATAGGCAGCACCATTCCCTGCCAAATGATGGGAGACCTCCTGATAGAGACCTCGCTCTCTCCTCCTCCCTCCCATACTATCTATAACGCACCTCCTAACGGAGTCCAAGTTGGTCAGTTCTATCCATCTCTAGTGTTATTATCTGAGCCCAAATATCATCAGGGGATGCTGATTTAATTGCTGCCCAGCAGGGCTTCTTGCCTCCTGCTTTTCCCTGTCTTGTTACTGTGCTTTGCTGTGAAATGGCCCCCATAGGCCTACACACTTGAACACCTGGCCCCAGCCAGTGGCACTGTTTTAGAACCTTTAGGCTCCTGGTCTACATAGTGAGTCCCAGGCCTTCCAGGGCTACATAGTGAGACCCTGTCTCAAGAAACAAAACAAAAGTAGACACCATCTAAGAATGACAACTGAGGATGCCCTCTGACCTCTACATGCACACACACACACACACACACACACACGTTTACCCCAAAGGGGCAGAGGACCAATCAACACTGGTGGAAGATGAGAAACCGTGGGCTATGGCTTTGAAAACAGACTGGGATGTAACCATGCTCAGCCAGGGGAACTGCAGGCAGGAGATATTCACGAAAGCATTGTGTGGGAAAACGAGTCAGCCCAAACTCCCGTGGGAACTTTCTTGCCCCATCTCTACTTTTAACCCCACTCTACCAACAAGCCACAGTTCACCTGGGGTGGGGAGGAGAACTGAGAAAGAGAGATAAAGAAATAGTGAAGCCAGACCCTCTAGTTCCCAAATGCAGGCGCTTATAGAGAACAGGAAACCCGAGGGGCGTGGTGACGGAGCCTTAATATTGAATTAACTCATAGTTTATTAACTCAGGGAACAGGATGTCAGACTGCTGTCATAAACCTGGTATCCAGGGACAATCCAAATACTGCAACGATTTCAAGAATGGTGAGATGGGTAAAGGTGCCTGCCACCAACCCTGATGACCTGAGTTCCAGTCCCAGGATTCACACAGTGGAAGGAGAGAACAACCTCCCGGGTGTCATGCTGCATAAAGGGAGAGAGAGGGAGGTGCTGCTGGCCTGCTCTATTCGGAAGCTGGCCTCGTCTGTTCAGATCTACATCGAAGAGAGCGGTCCTGAACAAAGGCGCCCTCTTTATATAATTATATATACAACAGAACAGATATGACAACAAAAAGGAGGGAGCCTCTTTTACAGGGGCCCGTAAGGGAGAGAACTTTCTTCTGGCCTTGCTGACACAGAACAGCACACAAAGGCACAGCCAGAAATGGTTACTCTATATTCACATGCTCTTACATATTGCGGGATGAGGGGACATTGCTTTCAATGCCTTACTGCTTCTAGCGCATGGTCATAGACCTGGTCATCACATCTCATACACACAGACACCGTCCTGAGTCAGGGGCATGAAAGAGTCACAAAGGAAAAACAGGAAACATGGTCCAACCGAGGCTGTGCATTCAGCTGAGTGTGAAATTCGTCCCAAGTCCAAAGCAGGGTGGGAGGGATCACAATGTTTTTCTTAGGGGTCGGTTGATTCTGATCAGACTGAGTACATGTGTAAGCAGAATGAGTAATTATAAATGATCTCAAAGCACACTACTAACTTGGTTACAGGCTGGGTTCAAGTTTGATTTTTAATATCATTTGTTTTGTTTTTGTTTTTTTTTTTTGTTTTGTTTTGGTTTGGTTTTTTGAGACAGGGTTTCTCTGTGTAGCTTTGTGCCTTTCCTGGAACTCACTCGGTAATCCAGGCCGGCCTCGAACTCACAGAGATCCGCCTGCCTCTGCCTCCTGAGTGCTGGGATTAAAGGCATGTGCCACCACTGTCTGGCTATCATTAGTTTTGAGACAGGGTTTCAAGTAGCCCAAGCTGGCCTCAAACTCTCTGGAGTCATGGAGTCAAGGATGACCTTGAATTCCTGATCCTCCTCTCCTCCTAAGTGCGGGAAGAGAGGCTGGCACCACCATGCACATGCCCACTTTATGAGGTGCCAAGGGTCCAGCCCCAGACTTCTTGCATGCTAGGCAAGTTCTCTCCCAGCTGATGCACACCTCCAGGCCCCTCCACATCCCTATCATTCACGCCTCAGACCTGGTTAACCACAAACTCTTACCCTCTCTGCCCTTGTGACCTGCCTCTGTACTTCTCTGGTTACCCTCATCTGTCACATCTTAACCATCTCATGTATAGTTTCTCCCCACCACCCCAAATCCCCCAGCCACTCCATTCCCCCTACCCTCAGGTCCAGGGATCCTATGCATTTAAATCAAGCCTTGTTTCCTCCTTAACATGCTTTTGATGGCCTCAAAAGCTCTTGCTGGACACACCCGAAGGAACAAGATCCAAGTTGCTTGGCTAGTTTTCTTGCACCCCGAATCATGTGATGTTTCCAACCTCCTCTAAACTCACTCGGCTCTACCAAAATTCATTGAGGCCTGCTCTCAGAATGGTCTCAAGTCAAACAGAAAAAAGAGATGAGCTCTGTGGGTACAGTGTTTGCCTACCATTCTCAAGGCCCTAGATTCCATAACCAGCACTGCATAAACTGGGTATAGCAGATGCAAACCTGTAATCCCAACACTCTGGAGTCAGATGCAGGAAGATCAGGAGTTCAAGGCCATCCCCGGCTACAAAGAAAGTCTGAGGACAGCCTGGGGTACATGAAAACCTGCCTTAAAAATAATGGTAACAGCCAGGCAATGGTGGTGCACACCTTTAATTCCAGCATTTGGGAGGCAGAGGCAGGTGGATCTCTGAGTTCAAGGCCAGTGTCTGGTCTATATAGTGAGTTCCAGGACAGCCAGGGCTACCCACAGAGAAACCCTGTTTTGACAACCAAAATAAACAAACACATTAATAATCATAATAACACATAGTTCTTGACCATTAGATGATGTTAGAAAATTAAAGAATTCCCAGAGCACATACTCAGGAGACAAGATCAAGGGCAGGGCTTGTCCAAACGTGTCCATGCCAACAGAAAGAAAGTGTCTCTCTGAATACAGGACTACATTTTCCTGCCTCCTCCTTTCCCTGCCTACATACTTCCCAGTATTGAAGAATCAACGCATGTTGGCTCTCTCGTTCTCCCGTGTGGGTCCTGGTTTGAACTCAGGTTGTCAGGGTTGGCCAGTTCCCCAAAGGCCGGAGAGAACCAGAGGAAGCATACCCAACTCCAAGACTGGGCTGGTAGTTCACCTTATCAACCCAGCAAAGAGGCTGAGGCCAGGGAAGAGAGAGAAAGACAGTCACGTGAGCTCTCATGTGTGGCTGTGTTCTTTAGCTCTCATGCCGTTTGTAACCAACCCCAACACTTGCATTCTGTCACTGTCCCCAGCCAGACTGAGTCACTGATGTGTTACTGTCCTCTACGGAGGTGGCCTATGAAACAACTGCTTCTCAAACCTGAACTGCTGTTGCGTGTGTGCGTGTGCATGTGTGTGTGTGTGTGTGTGTGTGTGTGTGTGTGTGTGTGTGTGCATGTGTGTGTGTCTGGGGATAGAATGCCAGTCAGTACTCTACCACTGAGCTACACCCTAGCCCTCCTTTTCCGTCCTGTTTTGAGACAAGGGCTTACTACCTGACCCAGGCAGGCCTTGAACTTGCTATCATCCCGCGTCAACCTCCAGGAACCTGGGATCACAGACCTGCTCAAGTGGAGCTAGGGTACCGAACTTGTGTTTGATGATTTCACATACGTATGAAGTGTTTGGATCAAAGCCACCCCCATGCCCTCCCATCCAGTTCCTTTCCTATCCCCAGACCCTGAACTTTTTTGTGTGGTTGCTTCAGTTTTTTGTTTTGTTTTGTTTTTTAAACAGAGCTTCATGCTGGTCTCAAATTCACATCAATCCTCCTGCGTGCTAGGATTACTGACCTGAACCATCACACCTAGCTATGGTCTTAAACATCTTTTCACGTGGGTGGCGTGTGCGCATGTGTATGAGCCAGAGGTCAACCTCAGCTGTCATTCTTCGGGTGTTGTCTACTGACCCTTAATTTTACATTTTTATCATATTTAGTTACGTTTATTTTTGCACGCGAATGTAGGTGCCTGCGGAGGTCAGAGGTGATGACTATTCCTGGAGCTAGAGTTACGGGAGGTTATGAGCCACCCGGTTAAGATGCTAGGATCTGAACTCTGCAAGAGAAGCAAGGAAGTGTTCTTAACCACTGAGTCATCTCTCCAGCCCTGATATATTGGGGGATGGTGGAAACGGGGGTTCGAGACAGGGTTTCCCTGTGGAGCCCTGGCTGTCCTGGGATTCATCATATAGTCCAGGCTAGCCTCGAATTCAGAAATTCGCCTGCCTCTGCCTCCCGAGTGCTGGGATTCAAGGCGACCACCGCCCGGCAAACTTAAAAATTTTTTAAAAAGATTTGTGTGTGGTGCGCGCGCGCGCACACACACACACACACACACACGGTTAGGAAGAAAAGAAGGAAGAAGAGCAGGAAGGGGAAGAGCTGTAGAATCGTGTTCCCCCCGCACTGCTGCTGGGATCGAAGGGTAGAGACAAGGACCAAAGCCCGAGTCACAGTCTCCAAACGTTTCCTCCTCCATACCACAGGGTCGTGGTCCTTCCGGCACATCTCCTGCTGCTAAGTCAGTGCTAGGACTTGGTAATCCCAGCAGGGGTGTGTGTGCAAAGCCTGGAAACTCAGCAAGGCTCCGTGCAACTTGTGGGAATGACGGCTCCGTGGGGAAACGCTGCCCACCCCGCTCCGGGACTCAGTCTCCCCAGAACCCCCCTCCAGCCTCGCTCCGGGAGCAGGAAGGCTGGGCCTGGCTGAGGTCAGGGGCTCGGGGGCCGCCTGACCTGCTGCGCGAGCGACTTCGGTCGGGCTCCCCGGCAGGACGTCTGTCTGGAGCCCCACCTAGGAAACGGTTCCGGTAAGGCGCTTCTAAACTAGCGCCTGTCCTCCTGGTCCTCTAGGAGCGCGCTCCACAAGGCCTCCAAACCCCCGGTTGCTAGGGGCGTTCCCGGGATTCCGTCTAACCCACGTGACCGTCCTATAGGGAGATGCAAAGCCTAACGCCGGATCTGGGGCGGGGAGGCGACCATGACCAGACAAGACTTAGCCGAGCCTCTCTCGCGAGATCACGGAAGGGGGCGGAGTCCAAGAGAGGGTTTCTTTCGGGCGACCGGGCGGTGTGACGTCAGACTTCTCGCGCGAGATCGCGGAAGGGGGCCGGGTCTTTCTTAATGAGACCAGGCAACGCTTGGCCGAGCCTGCCTCGCGAGATTTGGTGGCGCGGAGACCGGCTTTTGGGGGCTTCTCTCGCGAGATCAGGTGGCCCTGCGCCGGGCGGACACTGCGCAGAGTGGAGGTCGTTGGAGTCACTTGTCCGCTGCTGGCTCCTTCGCCTGTAGGTCCGTGCCCCGCCCGCCCCAGTCATGCTGTCCGCTCTCGCCCGGCCTGCCGGCGCCGCTCTCCGCCGCAGCTTCAGCACTTCAGCCCAGGTACGAAGGGGCTGCCAGCCCAGCGGGGAACTCCGGGCCGGCACGTGCATCCCCGGAACGCGCGGGTTCTTCACCCGCCAGGCTCATCCTGGACCTCAGGGCCCCCCATCCCCCGCCCCGGCTCATGTCCCGACCGACGCTCTGTGTGGAAAGCCTGGGAGAGGGGCAGAGCCGGGCCAGGTTTCCCCCGAGAGTCTGCGCTTCTTGTAGGTACAGAATCCCAAGCTCTCGATCCGGAAGCAAATTGCATTTTATGCAACTTTGCATTGCTTTGAACTAATTTTCTGCTTGTAGCGTCCGTATGAATTATGCATGAGGAAGAGAAATAACGTGTAGTATTAATTTTGTAGTGCAGGCATCCTGAGGATAGAGAACCGAGTCAAGGTTACGGTAATGTGACAGAATTGATTGAAATTCAGCGCTCCTGATCACTGTCCGTGGTCTAACCACTAAGAGATTGCTTTCTTTGTGCTTATTTATTTAGACTAGACTGGCCTCGAACTCATAGAGATCCTCCTCTGCCTCCCCAGTGCTGGGATTAAAGGCATGCACCATCACGCCTCGTTTTCCAAAAATTATTTTTCTGTGTCTGTGGTGTATGTGCACATGGGTGTGCAGAGACTGGAGAAAGACATCGGGTACCCTGCTCCATCATTCCAAACCAGCGCGTCTCAACCTGGGGGTCAAACGACCCTTTCACAGAGGTCACCTATCAGATATTTACATTATGATTCATAGCAGTAGCAAACTGTAATTATGAAGTAGAAACAAAAGTAATTTTATGATTGAGGGCCACCACAACATGAGGAACTTAAGTGTTTTTGGAGGGTTGCAGCATTGGGAAGGCTGAGAACCACTGCTCTAGACCTTATTTATTTGGAACAAGGCCTTTGAACCTGCCAGGCTGGAGAACTGGGGATTTGAACTCAGGTCTTAGTTCTCACTGAACCATCTCCTCCACTGGAGCCTTTTTCTCTTACAGATTATTCTTGGAGGATCATCCCTGCCTTGGGTAGACTTGGCCTTGGACACCTACAACTAAGCTATTTTTAGTCGTCTTCTACTTGGACAGTGGTTCTTTAACTAGTGCATGTCAGAATCAATTAAAAATGGAGTGCCAGGATCCTGTTTAGAGAGTAGGATCTGTGTTTTTACAAATCTCTAGCAAAATCGATACAACCAAGGCTTAAGAAATAATTACCATGCCCCAAAAGGGAACTGACAATTTGAGGGAACTCTGAATTTCTGCTCATTTAAGTCATGTCTTCCTGTTTCCCATTCAATCAGGTCATTGAAAAATATAGATACAGGAGCTGGAGGGATGCTCAGCAGTTAAAAGTGCTTGCTAATCTAGCAGAGGTCCAGAGTTTGGTTCCTGGGACCCAAGACAGGTGCCTCACAACCACTGTAACTCCAGCTCCAGAGGATCTGAAGCCTTCTGGCCTCTGGTCTCTTTAGGTACCTGCACATGAACTCACACACCAAAAAAAAAAGGAAACAAAAATACTTAAAATAATTACACACTGGATATGGTCATGCATGCTTGTAACCCCAGCTACTCAAGAGTTAGAGGCAGGAAGATTAGAAGTTTGAGACATGCCTGGGTAACTTAGGAGGACTCTGTCTCACATAAAACAAAGTTATAGGGACATAGTTCAGTGGTAGACACTTCCTAGGCATACAAGGCCCTGGGGGCTCAGATACCAAGATGAATGAGAAGCGGACTGGGGTGGATGAGAAATAATTGGTAGGTAGAGATGAAGATGGCTCCTGAGGAGTAAGTAGAGTCGGGTTAGCTCAGCATAGATAGTGCAGAGTGTGGCTGAGGGCTGGCGGGTTTGTGGCACTGAGTCAAACTCAGGGCCTTAAGTTTTGTGCCACTGAGCTACAAACCCAGGTTCAGCCCAGTTGTGTGTGTTTGTTTTTGTTTTTTTAGAAAGAGTTTCACTGTGCAACCTTGGCTGGCCTGGACCTCTTGGTGTAGACCTGACTGGTCTCAAACTAGAGATCCACCTGCCTCTGTACTTCCTGTATGCTGGGATTAAAAGTGTGGGCCACTATGCCCAGCTTCCATTTGAATTTTGGTGGTTGCATCTGTGCATTGAGCGAAGCACAGAACTGTGTTTTGATTTAAAGTTTTAAAAATTATTGATTCTGTGTGTGTGTGTGTGTGTGTGTGTGTGTGTGTGTGTACCATGTTTCACATGTGGTAAGGGCAGCTTGGTTTTTACCTTCTACCATGTAGGTTATGTGAATTGAACTTAGGTCATCAAGCTTGGCAGCCAATCTCCTTTACCCATGGAGCCATTTTTTCAGCCCCTGAATTCTATAGTAGATATGTTATTGTCTCTGCCTTGTTCTAAAGTGTTTTAGTAGTGAGCCCCAGAGGAAAAAGTCAGGGTTCACAAGGAAGGAAGTTGAGATTTTATTTTTAATTGGGGGGAAGGGCGGTGTGGGTGTGGGTATCTGTATGTGTATGTGCGCACTGGAATGGCAGAGGGCAGAGGACACATTGCTGGAGTCTATCCTCATTTTCCTCCATGTGGGAAGATTAGAGATTGAACTCCTGTCCTCAGGCTTTTGAAGCAAGTGCTTTTACTTGCTGAGCCATCTCACAGGCACAGGGAACGTGACATTTCAGTGAAGACCAGGAGAAAACATAGATCACATGTAGAAAGGATTCCAGGCAGGTGGACAGTACTGAGAGTCCGGCGTGTGGAGCAGGGAGGCCTGGAATGATTGAGAATATGGGGGAGGGTGGAGAGAACCCAGCAAGGCTTGTACAATTTGGACATTTTCTCAAAAGGGAAGTACCATTTTGAACAGAACAGTTACTTAGTAGGCAAAGGGAGACAGGTAAGAAGTCACTGTACTAATTTGGGTGACAGCTGTGGATGTGGTGAAAATTGGTGGAGCTAACTGAATTTGCTGATGATCAGATACAGGAGAGAGTGGAGTCGTGGATGATGCCAAGGTTTGGGGTTATGATACTGGTTTTTACTGAGATGAGTAAGAGTTCTGGAAGAGCTTGCTAGAGGTAGCACTCAGTGGTAGCGTGCTTGCTGTGGTGTGGCTCAGTGTAGAGCACCTTCCTAGAATCCCCCAATGAGAGGTTGGGGTGTGGCTCAGTGGTAGAGCACCTGCCTAGAATACCCCAGTGAGGGGCTGGGGCATGACTCAGTGGTAGAGCACCTGCCTAGAATCCCCTAGTGAGGGGCTGGGGCATGACTCAGTGGTAAGAGTGTAAAGACTTCTAGGAGAGAGCAAGTTTAGGGTAGTGGGAAGGCTCAGCAGGCTTAGCTTTGGTTGGATTTAGAAAAACCAAATTCAAAAACAAAAAGAAAATGCCAGTTGGGTGTCCAGTTAGCTCTTGAGAAAACAGTGGAGTAAGTCCAAAGGCACCTGGAACTAACTATGTTTGGTCTCTAGGCTTTGGATCCTTTATCTCAATGATAAAATGTAGCCAAAGTCCTCCATGTATCTCAGCCACCATGTATCTAATTTTAATATATACTGTGCATCCATGTAGTAGAAACACAGCTGTAGAAGTTTTGAAACAAAAAAACTGTGGACTTAAATTCTGAAAGCAGAGGTGTGAATGAAATGTTTTACAATCTATCCATCTTCAGAACAGTTGCCAAGCAGTAAACTCTTGATCAGGACTCTGGGCTCTCAGCAAATGCCAATGGGGTTGGAAGGAACCACTGTGATAATGCCTTGGATAGAACCCACTGGCGCTGACAAGATGGCTTAGAGGGTAAAGGCACTTGTCCCCAAGCTGGTCAACCTGAGTTCATCCCACTCTTTCACCCACATGGTGGAAAATTAGAACCGACTCCAGCAAGTTGTCTACTGACTAAGTAGATAATCAAATGTAACAAAAAACATTTTTAAAAAAGATCTCATTACTGGAGGACTAGGTACACAGAATTGCTGGTGTACCTCGGTGCACAGCATAGGACTGAGTGAGGAAAGCCTCTCCCTCCTCATTCCCCCACGCTGGGTCCCATCAATATTGAACAGAGCAGGCCCACCTAAAGACCCTAGGGTGGGCACTAGCTCTTTATGTCTCTTGGTAGCATTTAAGATTTTTACTTGTTAGATTAAAAACAAGATTTTTTGGTGGGGATAGTGTCTCTGTAACAGCTCTGGCTGGCCTCAAACTCACAGAGATCTTCCTGCCTTTGCCTCCTGAGTGCTGGGATTACAGGTGTGCACCACCACTGCCTGGCTAAACGGTTTTTTGTTGTTGTTTTTAAGATTTTAAGCTAGGTGTCATGGTGCAGACCTGTGAGCCCAGGCTAGTTTTTCCTGTGAGTTTCACGTCAGCCTGGGCTACATAATAGGCCCTATCTCAAAGCAGTAGAATCAACAGAAACCACGCGAATGCTTTTCTTCCGTTCCCCATTTGTACTTGCTTTGATGGAACCCCGGCTGGGCTGCCCTGTCCAGTGAAATGATGGAGGTGTGCTTAGGGAGAGCAGCTTGGCGGTGCCCGAGTGGAGGATGGGAGGCAATGAGACAGGAGCAGGTTGGGGCAGGCGGGGCCTGAGAGGCCAGGTTCTTCCTGCACTGCTTCCCTGTTAGATTTGATCTTGAGACAGGGCCTACCCGTGTAGCTAAGACTGCTCTCTATCTCGGGATTCTCCTGCCCCTGAGTGCACCTTTTTCTTTTTTCT